CTTCATAGTCGGCATCTTTGTCATTTTTCTTCAGCTCTCTCTGTGTTTCTCTCGCTGTTTCGCCCTGCTGACTGCTGACTGCTTTCTCTTATTCTTCTTCTTCTTCTTCTTCTTCTTCTTCTTCTTCTTCTTCTTCTTCTACTTTTCCTTCGTCTTAAGCATCCTGCAAATGCCAATGTGTGTGTGTGTGTGTCTTCCATTTTGCCGCTTCTGCTTTAGTGTTTATTTTGTGAACACATTTCGAATGTGGCTGGCCGAGTGTCATTTTATTCTCTCATTCGCATTCGCATTCACATTCGCGTTCTCTTTCTCCCCGTTCCCCACCTCATTCATTCAGTCTTTTCGCTCTTTCGCAGGCCTCTTCTTCTCCTTCTTATCCTTAATCTGCCAAGATTATATGTGTGTGTGTGTGTGTGTGTGAGCGAGTGTGAGTGCTTGTGTCATTGCCATTAATTAAACACGTTTATGGCCGGGCCAGAACAGAAAAAAAAAACGTAAAGAGTAGCCAAGAAATATAAATAAAATGGTCCAAAAAGAAAACAAAAATACGAAAGGGGAGAGAAGAGAGAAGACCGAAGAGGAAAAAGGACACCGAACACAGTAGCTAAAATAAAAACCCGGCCACTTTGCACATTAAATTATCGATTATGACATTCATTCACGGCTCCAGCTTCGTACGAAAATAGCATCAACAGCAAAATCAGCTGCCAATCTGGCTAAAAAGCTTCCAGAGCCCAGCTCTCCTCCTCCTTCTGCCCCTGCTCCTGACCCAACGACCTTCTCCTACCGCCTGCCTTCCTGCCTGCAACAAAGTCACAAAACGACCAGCGACCAGCGGGCGAACACACAGCAAACAAACAAGCAGGCCAACATTTTGCAAGCGGGGCATACACGGCGTATGGGCAACGTCAGTGGTACGATACTCGGCCATCAATGGGGGATTCCCCACGTCCACGCAAATGTCTGTAAAATGCTGAACACATTGCTAGCATCGATTGTGGTTTATTCTTGAACTCATTTAGCTAATATTCTGATTTCTAAAACCTGAAATTTACTTTTGGAAAATGTTTTTCTATTAACTTTTCCAAGCTGACAGTGATTTATGTTAATAAGGTAGCAAGACTGCTTTATTTTCTTTCACAAAAAGTGATTTATTTGCTGAGTTTGATTATAAGAAGTGGCTGATTTATGTCTTAGAGAGTAACTAACTTTAAAATTCAAAAGGGATCAGAGTTAGTTTGCGAAATTTTATCAAACTTAAGCTAGGAAATGTGAAATATCAGGACATCAGAGAAGTTAAATCATAACCAAACTACTATAAACTTGTCCATTACTGTTAATACTCCCAATCCAGAGGCAAAGAGGCGTGTCTATGTGTGTGTGTGTGTGAACAGGAAAATTTATATTCGACAAGCGACAAATGGCAAAATGTTGAATGCAACAAAGCGCATTTTGCAGTCCCGAAATGTACTGCGATGTGGCAATTAAATAAAACTCGGACTCGTATTTCCATTAATTAAAATCTAAACTCCAACCATTGTTCGGGCCAAAAGCCAAATGTCATTTAATTGGTAACTTAACCTACAGTTTGCCAGTTTCTGGATTTTCTTTTTGGCTAATTACAAGCTTGAAAAATGCAAAATGCTAAATGCAAAAAAAATATCTTCTTGCCAAGCTCAACCGCATCATTAGTCCACCAAAATAAAAATATTTAAAATAAAAACAAAAAATAGGAAAGAATTGAATGGTAAAAGTTTTTAATTGGCAAGAAGAGAAGGTCCTAAGCCCAATAGTTGGCCATCGAAAGCTGTGGCTGAGCTGCATTTGGTAGCAATTTGTGATTACTAGGAATTTGATACAAAAAGTCAAGGTTAGAGTGAGATATGGCTGTTTTTTTTAGGGTTTAAATATTAATTAGTTATGCAATTTGAAGTTTAAAATAGTCTATAAAATATATATTTATCATTAAGGATCTATCTAAGTTGGATTTTATGGGAAAACTAAGCTTATTTGTGGATTATTTTGGCCACTTTTTTTTAGGAATTTACAAAAAGCTAAAAAATCTTTTAAAATCTCTCAAGTAAATCTCAAATAAATCTTAATAAATCTTAAATAAATCTTATTAAATTATAAATAAAAACCAACTAATTAACTAAGAAACTTTTCTTTAATTTAAGATTTATTTAAAAATATAAAAAAAACTAAACTTATTTGTAGCTTATTTTAAGCACTTTTTTGGCAATTTTCAAAAGTCTAAAAAAAATCTTAATAAATCTCAAATAAATCACAAAAAAATCTTAATAAATCTTAAAAAGAGCAAACTAATTAATTAAGAAACTTTTTTTTAATTTAAGATTTATTTGAAAATCTAAAAAAAAGCCAAGCTTATTTGTAGCTTATTTTAAGCACTTTTCGGGATTTACAAAAGGCTAAAAAAAATCTTTAAAAATCTTAATAAATCTTAATAAAATAAATCTCAAATAAATCTTAATAAATTTTAAATAAACCCAACTAATTAACTAAGAAAATCTTCTTTAATTTAAGATTTATTTAAAAATCTAAAAAAAACTAAGCTTCTTTGTAGATTATTTTAAGCACTTTTTTAGGTATTTACAAAAGGCTTAAAAAATCTTCATAAATCTCAAATAAATCTCAATAAATCTTCATAAATCTAAAACAAAACCAACTAATTAACTAAGAAACTCTTCTTAAATTCTAAATTTATAAACAAATTTATTAAGTTTATACAAAAACCTCTTTAATTTCTTAAAAACCCCCTGAAAATAGCCAAGTTCTGTAACTAAAATTGATGATTTTCCCGCACAACAAAGGCAGACAGAAGCCCACACATGGGCCTGGAAGAATACCCAAAATTATTGCCCGCATTCCAACACAACACCCATAATCACTCAATTTTCAAGCCAGGCCCCTCATCAAAATTCCCATCCCCTCCCCCCGTTCTCCGTTCTTCTTGACTCTTGGAAAATGCCCATACAAGAAAATATCATTAGGCCAGTTGCCAGTTGCCAGTTTTGCCAAAGGAAAAAGGGAAAACTTTATTAATAATGAAGCTAATAGAGTTTTGAGGGCCACCTCCAACCTCTGCTGTACCCTCCCCCTCCCTCTAAAAAAAAAGAAATTACAGCAAAAAAAAAAAAGAAAAGTAAGATGGGAAAAGGAAAATTTGGTCAGTGGCTCAAGGAGCTGTAAAAATAACAAGGCGCAGACAAGAGGCGGCGGCAGTGGCAAAAGGCCTAAATCGAGGGTGGCACAAGGCGACTACTGTCACACAGACAGACAAACACACTAGCATAGACACACATACTGGCATACACAAACACACACCAAAAACGATTGAGTAATTTTTTTTTTTGTACCCTCCCCTCCCCCCGCTCAGTCACACAACTTCATTAGGGTCAAAGCGAGATGAATTCTAGTTGGGGATTTCTAGTGGAGATTGGAGACTGCTACGGAGGGCGGGTGGCAGGGGGGAGGGACGTTGTGTTATATAAATAAAAATGCTAAAATGCTTAAATGCGGCTAAGAAACATTTGGCAATTAAAAGCTGGCATTAGTTTTGCGTAATCTGTCAACTAATTGCCACAAAAGTAGACACAGTTGGCCCTGACTTTGACTGGCAAATTGGATTAGAAGAAGGAATAATGACCACTTGAAGGGAAATCCCTTGAAAATAGGGCAGGAAAATCCCTTAAAAATATGAGCCAGTGAGATTAAAAAGAATATTCGATATATAGTATATAGGGTGGATATATGGTATATATCTGATTTCTGTTAGTTACATTTTCGGTTTTTGTTTTTAGTTTTTTTGGTTAAATTTCACGCACTTTGGCAGCAGCAGTCCTTCATCCTTGTTGTTGTTGTTGTGGTTTGTAGTGGTTGTTGTTGTTGTTGTCGCTCCTTGTTGTTGTTGTTGTTGGCTTGGCATTTATTTGATAATATTTAGTGGCTTGTTTTGTTGTTGTTGTTGTTGTTCTGTTCGCACTCGTGTTCAAACCGCACAAAAACAAAAAATCTCCAAAAAAATTAACAATTTTTTATATAAATTTTTATCCCTCTTTAATGCTCTTTTTTTTTGAAATTTATTTTAATTTTTTTTATTTATTAGGCGGAGGCACATTTCTATTTTTTTTTTTTTTTTTTGTGAATATTTTCTTCAGCTTAGCTGGATGGGTTCCGGTTTTTGCTTTCTTTTCTTTAGCTTTTTCTTTTCCCTTTTCCCCTTCTTTTTATTTTTTGGCACTTGAGCACTTTTGCTTGGAATATTTCTGCTTTCGATTTGAATTTGTTGGCTTTCCTTGGCTTTTCGTTTGACTAAATGTTGTTGTTGTTGTTGTTGCATTGGAAACTAGAAACAAGAACAAAAAAAAAGAACATTTCTGTTGGGCGCTGGGAGGGAACACACTCCTTTAGAGTTCGTTGCTTATGCGGGTTTATTTTTTGTATTATTTTTAGTTGCGGAGTTTCGGCTGTGGCTGTGGCACGTCTGAGAAAAGGACTGAAGAGACCCACTCAGAGGGCGACGATGATGATGGGAGGCGAGCGCACGCTGGCTCCACACCACATGACCGCACTACACGATTGACAGTTTGGCACTGAGCTGGAGCAGCATAGGACCACGGACGACGACCAGGAGTCAGTAGCCAGGACTAGGGCTTATCATACGAGCCGAACCAAGCCGAAGCGAATCGTAATCGAAACGAGCCGCCAAAAAAAAAACCCCCCGAAGGCCCGAATGCCTTCAATGCCCCGAAGAACCGAGAGTCCTTTTTGTGTGTGTTTTAACTGTGAGTGTGTGTGTGTGTGTGTGTGTTAGTCAGATGTAGGAGGGGTGCTGGGGGCGTTCAGGGGAGCGTGTCGCTGCTAGGATATGCGCGACTGTTACAAAAAAATTTGTAGCCAAGCCCAAAGCCAGCCCTGTCGCCTCCGCATCGCCGCCTCTCACCTCACCGCCGCATATCCTTGCCCCGCGCCGCACTCACATGTTCATTGAGGAAAGCCCCAGCATCAGCAGCGGCAGTGGCAGTGGCAGCGCCAGGACTCCAGGCGAGGCGAAACCCAACGAAGTGTACCGAACCGAACCAAAAACCGAGCCAAAGCCGAACCCCATTCGAGCCGAGATCTCACTCCTAAGGCGGCAACAGCCCGTTGGGAAATGGAGCAATAATATCCGGGGGAATTTCGGGACTTGTAAGTATTGTTATTGTTAGTATTAAGATTAGTGTTATTTAAACAAATTTACTTAAGAATTTAAGTTTTAAAAAGATGGTTTTTAGTAACAGAAATGATAAGTTATTTGGATCATATCTAGAGGAAAATTATAGCAATATTGGAATAGGTTTTTGTGGTTTTAACTTAAAAGAGAACTAAAGTGAGTCAATCTGTGGGGAAATCATATTTTTAGTAGTCTTACTAATTTAAATTTATAAGTAAAAACACTAATAATATAGCAGTTATTAATGGCTGTTATAAATATTATACCAAAAGTATTCCTTAAATAGATTAGATTATTTTTAAATTATTAGATATTCCTTAAATTAGATTCTTTAAAGAAAAGTTTAAGAAATCTTTGGGAAATTCAACTTTAGACCGAAGGAAATTTCGAAAGTTAAGTCATGGGAAGTTGTTTATCAGAAAGCAGCTTACAGTTCTTTCAGTTAGTATTATATATAGCAGCATATAGTATGTTGATGGTAATTAATTATAAACAAGCTTAAAATGCCTAAGAAAACTATTTAAGACAGTGATGTTAATGATTGTAGGTTAATGTAGGATGTAAGATGTAGGACTTAGGATAAAGGACACTTGCTTTGGCTTTATGCTAAACTTAAACAATTTCAATATTCATATTGATTAATATTAAGTATTATGATTATTATTAAGTATTAACATCATTATCCTTATTAATTACTAACATACTTTTACATTTAACAAGCTTTGCCAGTTTAAACTTTAAACCAAAAAGTTAATTTATGTTTCAATAACCACAAAACTGCTCAACTTTTGATAAATTATTAAAAACTCACAAAATTAAAACCCTTTTAACCACCCGACCTACTAGAAACATATATAATTTATGACTTATGCATATGAATTATTATAAAATACTAAAAATATATATTTCCATCAAAAATAGTTGGTCCAATGACGAGGTCAGGCCACCTAGGAATTGGCCACGCCACGCCACGCGAACTCTCCAAGCCGCCCACCCACGTGCATACATTAAAGTTGCAGGCGACTCCCGGCTCCATTTGGCAGATGAAACTTGTCCGGATTTCCAATTAAGACAATAAGAGAATCATATCCGAGGAAAATGGCAAAGAAAAACTCAAGTGGTCGGTCGGATAGGTCGCTGGTGGAATTGAATTGAATAAAGATAAAAAAAATATTTGTCTGCCGCGGGCGATGCGCATTTCCCAGCGGGGACAAAGCCAACAGAAGACTCCGCAGCTCTGCAAGAACAACAACAGCGCCAGCACCACAGATAGAAACCGAAACTCTGCACTGAGACAAATTTAAGTAAGTACCATTTCATTACAAATATTATTCATATTTCATATTAAGGTATTATAAAGTTATTAGTTAATATTAATTCGATGTCTTAAGGACACTAAAAACATAATGAAAGTGACAAGGAAAAAGTTAACTATAAAAAAGCCTTAAGTTCAGCTTTTATTTCAATTTAAAGTTCGTTTAACTTTTATCCAAAATATTACTTAAATATTTTATACTCTTACCCCCTTTTAAATTAGTTAATATTTAGCATAAACTTTTAAGTAACATAAATTTCTTGCTATGCTGGGACGAAGGAAGCGCCAAGTGCCATGTGCGGCGCTTTGTGTCGTCGTCTGTGTGCGTGCGGCCTTGCGGTGTCCCTGTGCGTGTGTGTGTGTGTGTCTCTGTGTGAGAGGAGGTTCTGTTGTGAGCGGTAAGAGGCAGGAAAGGGGGTTAAGGACGAGAGGCAGCCTCAGCAGCAGCAGCACCAGCCAGAACCACGACGAGAGCACAAACAGAAACGGCACAAACAGCAAACGTGATGAGCGCATGTGTTTTATCTTCAATCTCAGCTGAAATCATCTGGCCCCCAAAAACAAAAAAAAAAAAAAAAAAAAAAACAAAATGAAGAGGGAAACCCCCGTCCGAAAAACACAGGCCCCCCTTTGGCCCACGCCCCCGTTTGGCATTATGAAGGGCAATAGGTTGTGTGCGACTTTGTGGACTCGGGTCGCCATCGGTGTCGGGATAAAGTTCGGGTTCTCGGGTCGACAAACGCCTTCGGCTGTGACTTAGCTCTGACCAAGTCACTAAGCCAGTCAACCCCACTATCTGCCAGAAGAACTGACATCCCCCCACTCTTCCATTCTGTTAACCCACCTACCAACCCCCCCTCATTGCCCATGGAGCGCATTTTCAGCGCTTTGTAACATCAAGAAATTTGTACTTCCGCCAGTGGAAGATTTTAATTAAAAGCAGCAGGAAATGTGACCCAAATAATACTTCCGTATAGTGTGAAAAATTGGCCCCGACTTGGCAAATGCTATTGCCATTTACTCCTGCCCAGCTCTGCCATACACTCCTCCATCCATCTACATCCACATCCTCGACCTCATCCTCATCCTCATCTATACAGTGGCTGCCTAATTTGTCGTAGGACCGCCTGCGGGGCGAACGTTTAGCTGCCGGCAGGCGAGGAAAATATAATTTAAGTGATTTCTAAGCTGGCGACTGACAAGCGAACGGAAAACGTTTATCAGTCGAGTGGAAAATGACACAGGAAAAATGTGTGTAGAAGGGTTAAGTTAGATTATTTCAAATGCATTACGTTTTTAAGATTAATCAATTAGCATTCAGAACGAACTTAGGTTATGCATTTGCCATGACCTTTTTTAAAAGTTTAGAATTCAAATTTCAAATTAATGATTTACAGATGGGTTTTTAAGAAGCAACGGCAAGAAATTGTGAAGAATTTCTATGATTTTGAAAATCAAATTTGAACTCAATAGAGTTTAGCTTAAAAAATCAGCTTCGATCAGCAAACAATTTGAAAGGACTTTGGCAGTGCATTAAGGTCGTACGTACCTCCTCCGCCATTTATAGCCAGGATGAAGTTTTGACTTTCGGCTAGAAAGTCAGCTGCATTACGTGGCACTACTTGGTTATTCTTGGCGCGACATAAAATCAATATGGTTACCTTGTCACAGCGTGTCCTTTGACTTCGCTCCGTGAGCTCTTGGCACGCAAGCAGCGTGAAAATGCAATCAATAGCAAATCGTTGTCAGCAATTAGCGTTCAGCCCAAGCCCTGAAACCCGATCCCACGCCAACACACCCATTTCGATGCGCCAGGTGGATGGAGGCGGTGGTGATATAGAAAATGGTCAGGTGGTTAGTTGGTTATCCAGCCTGCAACACGTGAATGAATGATGCAGCAGGCTTTCGACTGAAGTGTGCCAAAAAGGATTTGCCACTAACGATGGCAGCAGTATGCATCTGCATCTGCATCTGCAGCACTCTCGAGCATATTTGCTCATCATTCTCGCTTTTTACTGGTCCTCCTGCTCCTGCTCCTCCTCCTCCTCCGCCTAGTTGTCCTTTCCAAAAGCGACACTATTCCCCTCTACAATTCTATTCATAGACTGCTCTGCGGCTCTCTCGATTGCCAGCAAAATGGCAAACAAATCGTTGCAAATATTCCCTCAACGTGGCGTATGCGCAATTTTTGCCCAAACTAAGGGGGCGACACATGTATATATATATATATGTACATATATATATATGGATATATATTCATGTATATCTGCTTTTGACTAGCACAAATCTTTGATGGCAGCTGTGTGTTTGTGTGTGTGTGTGGGTCGGCTGGACTGTTGTTGATTTAATTCCACATTTACCAAATAAAATTTTCATCTTTCGATGACAAACGTCTCGGAGACAGGCCATCACACTTATGGGAATTCCAAATCCATACCCAAATCAATCCGAGATGATGGGGTTACTGTGGGCGTACATCTTCATAATTTAGCGTGTGTGTGTGTGCGTGTGGATGCGTCTGTTGCCATGTTTAGTCATCTTAATTAGAAGTTTACATAAATTTGTTCACTTTACACTCAATTTACGTTCTAAATTTACTTTGAATATATTCTTGGGATCAAATGTTATTTGTTATTGATAATCATATAGCAAAGTTCGCATGCCTAATGGTCTTTATCAGTTCAAGGCTGGTTTCTAGGGAATTGGAATGTTATGCAGGCAGCTTGATTACGAGTACAATCAAAGGAGTTTATTTTTAGCTCATTCCATTAAAATGCTATCGAAAGATTACTGGGAAATAGTTCTTGCCCCCTTCCTCCCCCATTTTAATCCACAAAGCCATACTTCTTTTACATCTATAAGTATTTTATATTTATTTTGGAATTTATCATAAATTTTGCTTGAATTTCAAATACACATTATCCGTTTGAAATTTTGGTTTTAAATAGGTCGTAACACAAAATTTGACTTGCAAGCAAAACGAAACGACAAAAAAATGTATCTAAAAATGTGAATACTTAAGTGAATCAATATTTTATATGCTGTCTTCATGTACATAGATAATATATAACAATTACGATTACAAAAAAACACGACATTTCATGTGAGTGCGGAACAGAGACTGTATAGAGGGGCGTATGCTATATATATGTATGTGAGGATTAGGGCGTAGGGCGTAGGGCGTAGGGCGGGGGACCACAGCTTGGATGAAAAATGAATTTCGCTTTCTTGTTGTCTCCGGCCAAGGCGACAAGTGATAAAGTTCTATAATGTAAGCGTTAAATATATTATTTATATTATATGTTTGTATATATATATATAAATATATATAAGATCGTATATATATATATATGTGTGTGTGTGTGTTGCATGTGTGTGGGGGGGAGTGGGAGATATTCCTATATCGTTTTAATGACTTAAAGAACTAGAAAACATCATCATTATCAGCAGCAGCAGCAGCATCATAATCAGCGTCATCCCTTTCGCGTGACTTTTTTAGGGTAATTTCATAATCCAATTATTTCACAGGACTCGCACACACACAATAATTTAGTCTAGATATTGTATTTGGAGGCATGTATGTATCATATCATACGATTAAGTTATCCTGTCTTCCCAATCCGCTGCAGCTGTGTGTCGAAGGCATCGTGGGCCGCTTTAGTTTTCATTTCATTTCACTTGACTTTTTTGTTATTTGTTTCGTTTCAGTTTCAGTTAAAGTTCTAAGTTTAGTTTCGCGCTGTTTTATAAATATTGTTAATGCATTGTTTGTGTTTTTGTGTATTATCATTACAGTAATTATTTGTAATAAAGACGACGGCATTCTAGGAATTGTTTATGCACAAAAGCAAATAGTTATTTTAGTTCCTTGCTCCAATGCTTGCTTTAGTTGTATGTTAATCTTTTTGCTCATATTTTCAAGCTATTTTTAATATTCATTAAATCTTGTTGCTTCTTTATCTTTCTAGCTGTGTCACCTCTCTCTCTGTCTATCTCTGTGGCGCGGCTATCATCTCTTTCTGTCTCAGCTTAGCAGGATGAGTGCTTGAGTTCATGGTTGATTGATTGATTCTCCTTTTGATTTGATCAGATCCCTGGAGTGCTGTGTGTCCTTAGTACCTGCTGTTGTTGAACTGCGAATTGATGGCCGTATTAACGGCCGAGGAGGCTGCCTCCTGGACATGCTGATTGCGCAGAAACTCGGTGGTGAACTCCGCCTGGGCCTTGGCCATACTGGCACCTGTACTGCGATAGATCGAATGTATCTTGGTGATCATCAGCACATTGGCCACGGCCACCGCAGTAAAACAGAAGGCCACATTCAGCAGCAGTATACCAACAATAATACCCGACGCGTTGCCATCGAACTGATTGATCGCTGTAATAAAGCCACAATAGCCATTCTTGTTGAAGCCCACTGCCTGGACAATCGAGTACAACGTTTGAAAGAAGTAAATGAAGAAAAAGACCATGAAGTTAAAGCTCGAGTCGTTGCGGAATGCCTTGTACGCTGGCCGGAACCTGTGCAGAAGATGGACATCGGAAAATTCATTTTCAGCGTTAATTGAAATCCAAAAAAATTAACTAACCAGCAAACGTATGAGGCGGGCGAGAAGAGCAACGTGTAGAAGATGGCCAGGAAGAAGGTTTCGAACTCGCCAGCATGGAACAGCAATATTAGACCTCCGATCACGTTGGCCAACAACGTCATGGTGTAAACTGTAGGAGAAATGATGCAATATTCAATGTATAAATGTATCCGAGCAGAGGGCTATTGCTCCTAGTCCAATGTTAAATGTAAATGTATGTAATGTATTTAAAACTAATGGTTAACAAGAAGAAATGCTATAGTCGAGTGCCGCGACTATAAAATACTTAAAAAACAGCAGAGTCCAGTTTTGTTGCAGTTTCTTAGCTATAACCTGGTCAAAACAAGACTCAGATCTAAATGCAAACCAATTGGAAATCATAGCAATCAAATTACGACCCTACGAGGTATTACATTCCTCATTTGGACCATTTATGACTGTGCTATGGCCAAAAAACTGATTTTTTTGGGCCCAAAATCAAGTATACGTCTTATGGCAGCAGAGAGTCCGGTTTTGTTGCCGTTTCTTAGCTGTAACATTGTTAATACAAGACGTTTTATGCAGCTAACAACCGAAACTTAACGCCCCTATACTTGCTTTTATCATTATTGCCCTGATTTTTCGGTGCGAGCTCTGAAATCAAGAAAATCTAAGAGCAAAATCAAGAAATCTATTTCTAACAGAAATTTGCAATACTATGTTCGGTTTTTAGCTCTAGCTCGGCCAAAACAAGACGCACAGCCAAAAGAACGACTGTTTTGTGCTGCTAACGACCAATACTAACCACCCCTATCACCCGTTTTTCGATTTTGGGAAAGTCAATTTTGGCCCAAATTTCGCAATTTTGATAAGGGGTACCATCATCAAAATTTTCAAAAATGGGCCAAAAATGAAGTTTCCCAGATTTGAATGCAAATCAATTGGGAATCATGGCAATCAAGTTACGAGCCCTACGAGGTATTACATTCCTCATTTGGGCTATTTTTGGCTGTGCTATGGCTAAAAAACTGAAATTCTTGCGCTCAAAAATCAAGTATACGCCTTTTGGCAGCAGAATGCCCGGTTATGTTGCCGTTTCTTAGCTCTAACTTTGTCAAAACAAGACGCACAGCTAAAACAAAAACGGTTTTATGCAGCTTACAACCAAAACTTTAAACCCCTATACCCACTTTTTACATTAGTGTACTGCTCTTTTGCTGGGAGTGCTGATTTCATGGCTAAAAATCAAAATGCAATATTTGGTGCGGCTTTTCAGCTCTAGCTCGGCCAAAACAAGATGCACAGCCAAAAGAACGACTGTTTCGTGCTGCTAACGACCAACACTAACCACCCTGACACTCGCTTTTCGATTTTGGGAAAGTCAATTTTGACCCAAATTTCGCAATTTTGATAAGGGGTACCATCATCAAAATTTTCAAAAATGGGCCAAAAATGAAGTTTCCCAGATTTGAATGCAAATCAATTGGGAATCATGGCAATCAAATTACGAGCCCTACGAGGTATTACATTCCTCATTTGGGCTATTTTTGGCTGTGCTATGGCCAAAAAATTGAAATTCTTGCACTCAAAATCAAGTATACGCCCTTTGGCAGCAGAGATCCCGGTTTTGTTGCCGTTTCTTAGCTCTAACTTTGCTCAGACAAGACGCACAGCTATAACAGTGACTGTTCTTTGCAGCTAACAACCAACACTTTAAGCCCCTATACCCACTTTTTACAGTGGTGTACTGCTCTTTTGCTGCGAGTGCTGATTTCATGGCTAAAAATCAAAATGCAATATTTGGTGCGGCTTTTCAGCTCTAGCTCGGCCAAAACAAGATGCACAGCCAAAAGAACGACTGTTTCGTGCTGCTAACGACCAACACTAACCACCCCTATCACCCGTTTTTCGATTTTGGGAAAGTCAATTTTGGCCCAAATTTCGCATTTTTGATAAGGGGTACCATCATCAAAATTTTCAAAAATAGGCCAAAAATGAAGTTTCCCAGATTTGAATGCAAATCAATTGGGAATCATAGCAATCAAATTACGAGCCCTACGAGGTATTACATTCCATATTTGGACCATTTTTGGCTGTGCTATAGGAAAAAAACTGATTTTTTTCCGCTCAAAATTATGCTACGTCTTTTGATAGCTCTAACTTTTTCAAAACAAGACGCACGGCTGAAACAGTGACTGTTTTGTGCAGCTAACAACCAAAACCTAAAACCCCTATATCTACTTTTAACAAATTTGTCCTAATTTTTTTGCGGCGAGTTCTGATTTACTGACTAGAAAGTCAAAAACCTATTCTTGACAGAATTTTGCAATATTATTTGCGGTTTTTAGCTCTAGCTCGGTCAAAACAAGACGTAAAGCCTTAAGAACGACTGTTTTGTGCTGCTAACGACCAGCACTAACCACCCCTATCACTCGTTTTTCGATTTTTGGAAAGTCATTTTTCGGCTAAATTTCGCATTTTTGATAAGGGGTACCATCATCAAAATTTTCAAAAATAGGCCAAAAATGAAGTTTCCCAGATTTGAATGCAAATCAATTGGGAATCATAGCAATCAAATTACGAGCCCTACGAGGTATTACATTCCATATTTGGACCATTTTTGGCTGTGCTATAGCAAAAAAACTGATTTTTTTCCGCTCAAAATTATGCTCCGTCTTTTGATAGCTCTAACTTTTTCAAAACAAGACGCACGGCTGAAACAGTGACTGTTTTGTGCAGCTAACAACCAAAACCTAAAACCCCTATATCTACTTTTAACAAATTTGTCCTAATTTTTTTGCGGCGAGTTCTGATTTACTGACTAGAAAGTCAAAAACCTATTCTTGACAGAATTTGCAATATTATTTGCGGTTTTTAGCTCTAGCTCGGTCAAAACAAGACGTACAGCCTTAAGAACGACTGTTTTGTGCTGCTAACGACCAGCACTAACCACCCCTATCACTCGTTTTTCGATTTTGGGAAAGTCATTTTTCGGCTAAATTTCGCATTTTTGATAAGGGGTACCATCATCAAAATTTTCAAAAATGGGCCAAAAATGAAGTTTCCCAGATTTGAATGCAAATCAATTGGGAATCATGGCAATCAAATTACGAGCCCTACGAGGTATTACATTCCTCATTTGGACCATTTATGGCTGCGCTATGGCCAAAAAACTGATTTTTTTGGGCCCAAAATCAAGTATACGTCTTATGGCAGCAGAGAGTCCGGTTTTGTTGCCGTTTCTTAGCTGTAACATTGTTAATACAAGACGCACGGCTAAAACAATGAATGTTTTATGCAGCTAACAACCTTAACTTAACACCCCTGTACTTGCTTTTATCATTATTGCTCCGATTTTTCGGTGCGAGCTCTGGCAACCGATTTTTAACAGAAATTTGCAATGCCATGTTCGGTTTTTAGCTCTAGCTTGGCCAAAACAAGACGCACAGCCAAATGAACGACTGTTTCGTGTTGCTAACGACCAATACTAACCACCCCTATCACTCGATTTTCGATTTTGGGAAAATTAATTTTGGCCCAAATTTCGCATTTTTGATAAGGGGTACCATCATCAAAATTTTCAAAAAAGGCCCAAAAATGAAGTTTCCCAGATTTTAAAGCAAACTAATTGGGAATCATAGCAATCAAATTACGAGCCCTACGAGGTGTTACATTTCTCATTTGGACCATTTTTGACTGTGCTATGGCCAAAAAACTGATTTTTTTGGGCCCAAAATCAAGTATACGTCTTTTGGCAGCAGAGAGTCCGGTTTTGTTGCCGTTTCTTAGCTCTAACTTTGTAAAAACAAGACGCACGGCTAAAACAGTGACAAGGTTAAACGAAGACATCCGCTATAATATTATGGACTACAGATTTTTGCGGTTTGTGGGAGTTGGAGTGGGCGTGGCCAGATAAAAACTGACGTTAAGATGCAGTGGCATCTCATAAATACGTATTCCTAAGCCTAACTTTCTATCTCTTATAGTTCCCGAGATTTTTGCATTTTTGGTTTTCCGCGTTTTTTGGGCGTTAGAGTAGGCGTGGCCAGATGGTGTAAAAATAATAAGTATTGGAGGCGTCATTGGAAACTACATGCTTAATCCCAACACTCTATCACGTAAAGTTACCGAGTTATTAGCCTTTCTGCAAAAAGGGAAAATCGTCTTTCGAGCTTGGTGGGCGTAAGAGAGGGCGTGGCCGGATGACGGTACCACCATAAGATGCGTGGCATCTCAAGACTATACTTAATCTCAAATTTCTAGCTCTAATAGTTCCTGAGATTTCAGCGGTTTCAGTTTTTCCTGATTTATTGGGCGTTAGAGTAGGCGTGACAGGATGCTAAAATAAACTTGTGCTCCGTAGGAACCTCAAGAATCTGCCCGCTTAATCTCAACTCTGTAGCTCTTATAGTTCCAGAGAACAACAAACAGATTTCCAAGAATTTAGTTTTTCGTGATTTGTGGGTGTTAGAGTGGGCGTGGCAGCATGCTGAATAAATTGGCGCTGCGTAGGAACCTCAAGAATCGTCATGCTTAATCTTAACTTTGTATCTCTTATAGTTCCTGAGATCTCAGCGTTGATACGGACAGACGGGACAGACAGACGGACGGATATGGCTTAATAGACTTTGCTATTGATACTGATCAAGAATATATATACTTTATAGGGTCGGAAACGGTTCCTTCTACCTCTTACATCATTTTCAACGAATCTAATATACCCCTATACTCTATGGATAACGGGTATAAAAACCACGTAAGTAACGCGTATAGTAAGATTGTAAGTAACGGGTTTAATAAGCATGAAGCTCATACAGACAGACGGACATAGCTTAACAGACTTCGCTTTTAATACTGATCAAGAACATGTACACTTTATAGGCTCGCAAACGCGTCCTTCTACCTGTTATATACTTTTTAACGAATCTAATATACCCCTATACTCTATGGATAACGGGTATAAAAACCATGTAAGTAACGCGTATAATAAGATTTAAGTAACGGGTATAATACGAATAAGGCTCATACGGACAGACGGACATAGCTTAATAGATTTCGCTATTGATACTGATCAAGAACATGTATACTTTATAGGCTCGCAAACGCTTCCTTCTACCTGTTACATACTTTTTAACGAATCTAATATACTCTTTTACTCTACGAGTAACGTTTATAAAAACAGTTAGAAACGTTTTAAATATCAAGACATGGCAGTTAATTTAGTATAAAAGTCAACTAATTATTAAATGATTAGTCGCTTGCCATATTTGAGTCTCCTCTTTAGCCACAAAATTCTGCGCAAAAGCACACCCAGCTCCAAGACTATTAGCCCTAGCTATATCTGATTAATCATGGCAGCTGTCTGTGAACGACACGCGATGACTAATCCCAACCTATGGCTCGCTTATCAGTGGAATTATATTGAAAATAAAACCATAAAACCGTTTTACTTACAGATCCAAATGTAGTACAATCGCTTGACCAGTTTCTGGAACTCTGGCGGTATCTCCACCTCGAAGTCCTGGTAGAAGCACGGCTTCACGCAGAAGTTGTCCGGCAGCGGTGGCCAGTTGTTTAGCTGCGCCACATTGCCCTGTAGCTGCTGCTCGCGACGGTCCAGCTCGGCGGCTTTGCGATCCAGTTCCTCCTGCCGGCGCTACAATAATTCAAAATAAATAATTAGTCAAAATTCTGTAAACAAGTGCTTAGTAAACAAAATTATCTTTGTTAAACTAAAAAAAAACACGAATATTATTTTCTTGAGTCAGTATTCTTAATAAAAACATATTTAGTAATTAATTATGCTGTCCGTAGGTATAGTTTTTCTACATCTTTGTACAAGTTTCGTAATTTGTGGGTCTTGCGATCAATATTTCTAGTTTTTATATCTAGGGCTGCTGAAGCCAAGTAAATAAAGAGAAACCGCAGTTTCCACAGTAAAGTCTCGACGCGGCAACGTCAAGTCTTAGCTAGATAAAATGATCTAAGGCGGATTTATCGTGTGCAGAGCTAGATAAGCCTATTTATCTTTGGATCTTTTTATGGGCAGGGAAGATGGAATATGTAAATATGTATGCCATTATCATAAACTCTGACCAATGCTCACTGTACAGACCTTAAGGGCAGTGTATAAACTTTACGAACAATGTGATGGCGATGTGGATATACATATACACTTATCCCAATACACCGAAATGTTCACTGTTGTGTGGGCGGTAATACAAGCCGATCGGCAATGTGGGTTACCTGCAGCTCCTCCGAGGTGATCTGTATGCTGGTGCTTGGCGCCGAGGCGCCCAGGGAACTGGTCTGCGGGGGCGGAATGTTCTGCGACAGCGGCTGGACAACCGCCGCCGTGTTCGTAGAGTTTATCTGCAGCTGCGGCTTGGCCTGCTCCTCGAAGGGATTATAATCTTCCAGAGAGACGAGGGCGCCCCGTGAGCTTCTTGCCTGCTGGATGGCGGGATCCTGCGAGGAAATAGAAAAATCCCAATCAGAAACCAATTCATTCAACATATGTGACGAATGCACCCAGCACACACACACAAATGCTCACGTACACGCACATATACTCCCACCCTTGCATACGTATACGTGTGTGTGGTAGTTTTTTTTCTTCGGCTTCCGCGCTCTCTCCGCACCGCACTTTATCATCTTACCGCAAACGGATTGTCCAGGTTGGGCTCCCCGAAGGGATTCTCGTCGAGACCGGAGCCGGACATGGGGATTATACTTTGGGTTCGGCTGTTCGTTGACCAGAAAAACGCACTGATTCGCACTTTACTTTTCGCTGCGCTGTGTATATTTTCCCTATGACTCTGCTTAAATATCGATAACTTAGCGATGGTTCAGAACGAAACTATCGAAAATGTCCAGCGTAGTATGACCGAACTACAAATTTCAGGGTGACCGTCTAATATAGCTAATTGAGTTTTCGATAACTTCACTGTTTTTATTCAAATATAAATATAAAAAATATATTTATTGACGAACAATGCAGGGGTAAGTTTATGTTGAATAAAAAGCTTACATACCATAGTAATGCCAAATTGGTTACTTTCTTGATTTTTAAATTAATACCGATAACTCAAGCAAAACTGTCTGAAATGAACGGGTTCCGAATCTAACTACTCCCTCCGAACCGGTTCCTGGGAACAAGTTCCCATCCCTGGTGCCGCCATTCTCCAATTAGAATCTAGTGTTTGGGGGTGCGATTCGATCATTTACCGCCGCCTGCATCTCCAAATCGGTTGTGTGCCATTCTGTCTGTTTAGCGTCCAAGTCCAGATCCAATCCTTGCAAGAATGTCGAAACCCAGCTACAAAGTCGGTAAGTTGAGTATATAAATAAACCCAGGGCCGCGATTCTGCGCCAAATCTCCGGCCGGCAACAGGCGCCATGTGCTGGTGGATGATCCAGCTATGAGCACATGTTTCTGAGGTTAAAATACAGTCCAAACGGGAAGACCACGTTGTTGCCGGGGTAAAAAAAAATCTAAAGGTATATAAATCAACAGTGCCCTCTTATCTGACCCTATCTCCCTTTTTTCCCACTCGACAGCCGATATCAGTCTGGCGGAATGGGGACGCAAAGCGATCATCATCGCGGAGAACGAGATGCCCGGTCTGATGGCCTGCCGGAAGAAGTACGGCCCCTCCAAGATCCTTAAGGGCGCCCGCATCACCGGCTGCCTGCACATGACCGTCCAGACGGCCGTTCTCATCGAGACCCTCGTCGAGCTAGGAGCTCAGGTTGGTTCTTTTATTTAATTGTTGTCCATCATACCTTTCTTAAACACAAGAAAAGTATATCTTATCCCTTGATAGGCTTTCATATTGGTATGGGCAAAAATAATTTAGTAGAAATCAGATTAAACTGTATACTGTATTTGGGATATAAATCTATTACCTAAATTGTTTTAGAAAATATCCAAATTATTTTACCTAATCAATGAGTTCATAAGGTTATTCATTTATGTGAGATAGGTGGATAGATAGGTACCACCAAACCATTGTTCAAGGGCTGATCCCTTATCATCTTTTGTTTACGCACCAAATTTGAATAACAAAACTTTCGTTTTACGGGGGGGCAAGTTCAAGGCGCCCAAGATAAGACCACCAGATTGTTATTTCCTCTGACGCAGCACTTTTTGTTTATGGATCCTCACACATGGCAACTATCTCCGAACTACAGCCTATAGCCTGTAACCTCTTATTGTACAATTACAGTTCGAATATCTGAATATTAAGAGATTTTTGGTTGTGACTTTGTAAACAGTAAACTAAAAACAGCTACGAAATAGCATCTAAATCTTTGCATACCCTAGGAATCAGTTTTTACTCCCATCTAATAGATTACATTTCTATCCCTTACCTCAGGTCCAATGGTCCAGCTGCAATATCTTCAGTACCCAGGATAACGCGGCGGCGGCCATCGCTGCCACCGGAGTGCCCGTCTACGCCTGGAAGGGCGAGACCGACGAGGAGTACCTGTGGTGCATTGAACAGACCCTGGTCTTCCCCGACGGACAGCCTTTGAACATGATCCTGGATGATGGAGGTGATCTGACCAACTTGGTCCACGAGAAGTTCCCGCAGTACCTGAAGGACATCAAGGGTCTGAGCGAAGAGACAACCACCGGAGTTCATAACCTGTACAAGATGTTCAAGGACGGTCGCCTGGGAATCCCGGCCATCAATGTCAACGATTCGGTGACCAAGAGCAAGTTTGACAACCTCTACGGATGCCGGGAGTCGCTGATTGATGGTATTAAGCGTGCCACGGACGTGATGATCGCCGGCAAAGTGTGCTGCGTGGCTGGATACGGCGATGTTGGCAAGGGCTGTGCCCAGGCACTGAAGGGATTCGGCGGACGGGTGATTGTCACCGAGATCGATCCTATTAACGCCCTGCAAGCGGCGATGGAAGGCTATGAGGTGACTACAATGGAGGAGGCTAGCAAGGAGGCCTCGATCTTTGTGACTACCACTGGCTGCCGAGACATCATTACCAGCCAGCACCTGCTCCAGATGCCCGACGATGCCATCGTCTGCAATATTGGTCACTTCGATATCGAGATCGACGTGGACTGGCTAAATGCCAATGCCAAGGAGAAGGTGAACGTAAAGCCGCAGGTGGACCGCTACACCATGCAGAATGGCAAGCATATCATTCTTCTGGCCGAGGGTCGTCTGGTGAATCTAGGCTGTGCCCACGGCCATCCCAGTTTTGTGATGTCCAACTCCTTCACCAACCAGGTTCTCGCCCAGATCGAACTGTGGACCAAGTCCGACCAGTACGCAGTTGGCGTCCACGTTTTGCCTAAGATCCTTGACGAGGAGGTGGCCAGTCTGCATTTGGAGAAGTTGGGCGTGAAGCTCACAAAACTGACGGACAAGCAAGCCAGCTACCTGGGCGTCGCACAGACCGGTCCCTTCAAGCCCGACCACTACCGGTACTGAGCACCCGATCCGGCAACCGGTTCCGAACCTGAATCGGTTTACGGCACCGGAGACGACGGACCCACTAGTTATCTATTGTTTGCACATTTCACTGTTCACCTAAGCTGCAATAAAAATCCATCTCACGTACTCTCACCGAGAGAAACCCCAACACATGCTACAACGTTTTTCTCTACACTCTAAATAGTGGTGCTTATCAGTTTATTATGAAAAAAGGTGTTATATCTTCCGTACCTTGTGAATTTTAGTTGGGGATAGTTTTAGAGTAGAATCCTTGAAGAACATTTAAAGGTTTTGAATTTAATTTTTTGGGACTCAAATTTAATTAAAAGTTGATATTAAATAGTTTTGGTAAAAAAAATCGTTTATAAAGATTTATAAAGTTCTTAGAGCAAAATGCTGACTGAGCTAAATGTTAAAGTTCACGAGAATCATATGTTCATATATGTATATTGATTATTAAGATTAAGATCATAACAATTGTTCATATATATTTTCAAAACTTGTTTTCATTTTAAAACACGTGTTATCAAAAACATACGACTTTTGAAAGGCAACTATATTTTTACAAATAAAAAAAATAACAGTGACTCGACAATTTAAAAGATCTTTAAATAAATACGATCAATGACAAGCAGAAAACTCTCAAAGAAAATTCCTAATAAACAATTTTTAATTTGTTCACCAATTCTAATGATACCATCTTATTTAAATATACCAGAAAGACATTGTCGTAAGCAAATGTTGCTCGATAATAACTTAATAAATCATTTTTTAGAGAAACAATTTCATCAACGATGAAATGATTCAGTGGCGTACAGAGCTGAGATAAAATACATATACATATGTATGTATACATATAATAATAAAATTGAACTCTATTTTATAGATGTAAGAAATATTTTTAATATGTTACCAATACGCTTTTAGTAGTCTATGTTCCTGAATTGACTCAGCAATTATACTATACCTTTCGCACATCTGTGCAAAGTGATTTTTGACCTTCCACATTGTTAATGTAGGGTATTCAAGATTAAAGATGGCCCACCTTCTCAAGCAGATCCCGTATGACCAACTTGTTGCCTGTCTCTTTCGCTCCCTCTTACAAGTACATACAACCATCTCACCTCTACTTGCAATTGCAGTTGTAAACTGTATTTTGTGTTGTACCAGTGTGATTTCATGCTCATTCCATTTGGAGCACTTGTTGCGTGCGAGAAGATTCCGGCTGGCAAATTACATCATTTTAAAGTCGGAGATGAAAATGTCACCGCATGGATGTCTTAGTTTCGGATGGGGTTTCCTAATCATCGCCCTCGGACTGGGCTTTACACCCACTCTCGGCTGGATGGCGCACTTTCGTCCATCTGCGTTAAAATTACATATGGATCGCGGTGATCGAGTCAAGCTTACCCTAGAAAATCTGGCACCTTCGACATTGCAGCAGCCGGCACGGTATCAATTCCGCATGGAAAGTGCAAATACCGATTTGGCCAGTGTTCCGGGAGAGAATTCCACAATACCTCTTGACGTCTTCAACACGGAAACACGCGATTGGACAGGTGACATACTGGTGAATGCCCATTTCTTGGGCCAGACAAAGATCCAAGTTAGGCTGTATGATAACCAACTGAACACCAGTGAATTGCCCACCCATTGGAGCAATGACAGCACGCTGGACGTGAAGATCCAGCGCCCGAATCGTGTTTTGGATCATGTCTTTTTGGGCTCCATTATACTGCTGATGTCGCTGCTGTACATCAACTTTGGAGCCGCTTTGAATCTGGAAGTGCTGAGGGGACTGATCGTCCGGCCAACTGGGCCGTGTATTGGATTTATTATGCAGGTGGTGGGCATGCCTCTGTTGAGCTATGCCCTGGGCGTATTCATATTTCCCCAAGCACCGGCAATGCAGCTGGGACTCTTCTTCACCGGCATCTCGCCCAGCGGCGGAGCATCAAACACCTGGACCGCTGTGCTGGGTGGAAATATACATCTGTCTGTGCTTATGACCACCGTTTGTAATGTGGCCGCCTTCGCCACCATGCCCCTGTGGGTGCTCACACTTGGCCAGCTGATCTTCGAGCGGGCGGGCATCCAAGTGCCCTACCGGAAGATTGCCACTTACTGCGGCAGCCTGATTTTTCCACTTTTAGTAGGTCTGCTGGTCCAGAAACGACTGCCACGGATTGCCAAGGTTTTGGTTCGCCTGCTCAAGCCCATCTCCGCCTGCCTTATCCTGTTCATCGTTATCTTCGCCATCATTACGAACTTCTATCTATTCTATTTGTTTTCGTGGCAGGTGAGTGGTGCTCCCTTCTATTCATGAATGCTGTTTTAAGCACAAGGATATCATAGTTTTAAATATTCCCTAAATTTTAATATGGACAAATCAAAAGTAAATAAATATTTCGTCTTTAACCCTCTTTTTCAGATCGTTGTAGCTGGCATAGCTCTGCCAAGCCTGGGCTACATCTTTGCCTGGCTGGCGGCCAAGTTGCTTCATCAAAATGCAGCCGATGCCCTGACCATTGCCATTGAGACAGGTATCCAGAATACAGGCATAGCCATCTTCCTGCTAACAACCACACTGGAATCGCCGGAGGCGGATCTAACCACAGTGGTGCCGGTTTCAGTGGCCGTGATGACACCGTTCCCATTGCTGGGGATCTATCTTTACAAACGATGCTGTGCACCTAAAACACATGAGGCCAACGCTTCCGAATCGGAGCGAATTGTATAAATTTTGAAATGCTGACTTCGCATTCATATTTTGATAGCTGTTGCAATATTTGTTATAATAGTTTTTGTACATATTGGTATTTTTTATACATTATACATTCTAGTATTAGTAGACAAGGCTAAGATTCAGTCGCACAATATTTGGGGACCAACGAATCTGATAAATCTCATGCGTATTATACTCTACATTTTTCCACACCCAAGTGCTTTGAATTTACACTTTTAAATTAAAGTGATATAACTTTATCAAACGAAATTGACTCTTTTATATTCGATTTTCTTGCTTGGAACGTTTTGCCTGCAAATTAATTTCAAATCTTAGGCCATTTCAATTTCATACATAAACTTGATGAGCTTTAAAATCTAAAAACATCCATGTTATAACTTCTTAAGCCAAAGGAAATATATAAAAAGGAACAGTGGGGAAACTTTAATGCAAAGTTATGATGGTTTTGAGAGGTGGCACAGAAAACATCAGGACCAACCTTTTAAAAACTAATGTACAATGGATATCAAGCGCATAATAATCCGCAATTCAGACAGATCGCAAAATATATTCCAGGCTTAGCAAAAAGAAAGTATTTTGTGGTTTTTTAGGCGGCCATGGTGTAGGGCAAAAGGCCTGCCTCATCAAGGGTCACCACTTCGGTAGCCAGTGACTGGAGGATTTTCAGTAGTCCAAAAATGGTGTGCGCGCCGAGATTCAGTTGCCGGAATTCATACAGTATGCGCATATAGTTGATCGTGCCCGTATTCAAATCCACGCCATTTAACATATTCGGCAACAGGTTATAGTAATTGATCACGCAAAAGGCTCGCTGCAAATCAGGTCCACTGACGGTGGTCACATAGCTGGGATCCAGTCGTTTTTGGCTGAGAAACTCACGTAGCGGCAGACATAACTCGCATGTTGAGTCCTCCATTTCCTGCTTAAAGAGTTCCTGCATCATTTGGATGAGCTCAACGGAGATGAGTGGATGCTCCGACTCCTCACTGCGATTCAAATAGGCATCGATAAGTTTTAGCTGCCACACATCGATGTTGTTCAGCATTGACTTTGTCACGTGCTAGGGAAAAACAATATTATTTTTGGATATTTCCCTTTGATATATATATTCACTCACATCGTAAAGCGTAAGGTAAACTGGTAACAAATGCATCCGATCTTTAACCACTGCATTGTAAAAGAGCAGCATCATCTGGTGGCGCTTCACGAGCTCCGGGTAACTTAAATTCGTGCCCTTGGTGGTCAGGCAGCGACTCAAGAACTGCTTCACCATCCGTTCGCTAGCGAACTGCTGCAGATCGTTAATGTCAATCTGCCAACAGATGCTCTGTTCCATCGTCAAAGTCTGTGCCAGCATGCTCTTCAGCCTGTCTGGATCCTCCAAGTGGGAGAGGCATCCCGTTCTCTTCTTTATATCAATTGGTGCACTCCTCTCCAGGGCCTTCTCCAACTGATGCCAGTTGCGGGAACGTTCAAAACAAACTGGCCAATAGTTCTCATCATCCACAACCACCTGTTGGAGGCTGCTCAATACTGGTAGAATGCAGGGAGCGATAGGTAGGCGACGCAACTCGGTGGCACCCACCTCCAATACGGATATATTGGCCAGACACAGCTGATTTGTATCAATATCCCGGGGAAGGAACAGGCGAGGCTCAACAGCCAGGACATATAGATGTCTAAGCGCTTGGAGATGGTAACTAAAAGATAATATAAAGGCTTAAGATTGATGTCACTTCGCAGGGAATGGCAATTCTCACCGATTGTCGTTGCTGTGTATCGGAAACTTGGGGAAGAAGGCACAAACTAGCGCAGCAATGGACTCCGGTGTCTTGGCAATAGTAAAGCGACCCGCTCCGAGAAATAAAAGGCCCAGAGACATGTGAATGGCCATGTGTGAGCCGTATGTTATGTGCGGATACTGTGGTCCCACTCGTGATCTGAGATATCGAATAATGCGAAGAATTTCACAGTTTCCAGAGCCAGCGAATACCAAGGAGATCGAAATAAGTAGCACCATCAGGCAACTCTCCACTGTGGTGCGGCCGGCACATTCGCCCATAGGCGTACTGGGAAAACCTAGAAACTCCTTGATCACGGCCCGCAGCGTTGCGAAGGCCACCATGTCTTCTGTGCCTGCGTACTTAAGGCCAATGCAAAAAGCTGCTCCAGCCATGATATTGCAGTAGGCTTGCCTGAAACGAAGATATTTAGTCATATCCTTTAATTTCATATTGAACAATATTCTACTTACGTGATGGCCTCGTAGTCTACATAATCGTCATCTGAATTCGACTCCTCTTCGTTCAACTGAAGTCTCAAGTAAACTCGCAGAGTTTCCGGAAACTGTGCTTGGAACCACTCGTTGTCCGGCCGAATATCCTGCCATAAGATGAGGCCCCTGGCTATGGTGCGTAGCAGAAGGAAATCAGGCCGCACCATATCCAGAAGATAACGCGAGTCCGGCGGCTGCATCCACTCAGCAATCGCTGCATTACCGGAGTTAAAGAACATAAGACCCAGAGCGAGAGTTGCGCCCGGAGCGGTGACATCTATGTTGACGCTATCGCCTTCTCGAACTTTAAACGAAGCTAGTCGATACTTCTCCTTCTGGGAGCCACTGATGGGTCGTTTTACTCCACCCACCATGTAGTAGTGAAGCGTATCAGGTAGTTGAAGATCCCTTAGTCCCGCTGGCGATTCCCCTTGACCCAGGGTAACCAAACCGAGTGATAAACCAGCTGTCATCGCATACGATTCGCGCTCCACGCTGTTTTCCATCTCAGGACCTGGAGGCCTGCCAATCTCTTGGAGCAGCACTTCGGCTATGTGCCGCTTTGCTGATCCTTGATACAGCAATCCAATACCCATTAGAGCAGCTACTTGTGTGCTTTGCGGTATATCCAACTCCATGGCGGTGGCTGGAAGCAATGCCTCCAAATGAACGCTTAACAATTTTGTGGTTTTCGTATCCATGGTACCACGATGTGCTGCTGAAATACCCAGCAGTAGGCCCACATTAGTCATCTCATCGCACTTAACCAAATACTTATATACACTCATAAAAGACAGGGTTTTTAGATGACCATTCAAGCCCAACGCCATGAGAAAACCAGCGTGCTCCAAGGCATTGTTTGCTTGGGTTTTCGGCTTATTGTATACAATCCAATTGGAGTCTATGTCCTTAGCCTGCGGTGAGATCTTCAGGCCCGTGGCCACGCCATTGTGAAACGATGGCCACATTTGCATATTCGCAGGGAACTCGATTTGCTGCATTTCTATGGTCGTACCCTTTAGGGGCTCTCTGCCCACCAGGCACAATTTCGGCATAGATAAGCTATCGCTGGGTCTGGGCATCATCGTTCTCAGGGTGAACATGCCTCTTCCCAGAGGTAAAGTCATTGTCCGTGCACATAAAGCAAACAGTTGTTTTTCCTGCTCCTCTATAAACTCGTGATCGCTGGTTCCCGGCGCCTGCTGCACTTCGATTACCACTGGTTCTGAGCTGTTGAGCAGACGTCGCACTTCCTCCACACGCATGTCATCGGGAAAACGTAAGCGTAGCAATTTCGTATCCATGTTATCCATATCGTCGTGCCGCAATTGTTCAGGCGTGTCAGGTTCTGTTCCTCCTGTCGGGGGACACCTACTAGACAGGGAGTCTTCTTTATAAACCCTGCCGCAATGCGGTTGCCCACTGCTTGTTTCCAAGAACGGCAACTGCGCATGAGCCGCTAGTTCCGGGCGCAGGATAAGTTCATAAGTGGCCATACTACAGCCCATGGGTGGAGAAAGACGAGCCTCCTCTAGAGCCTCCGCTACGATCAAATGCACTGCCGCCGGAAATCTTTCGATGTCTCGCCTCGTCAATCGCATTGCCAGGATTAACTCAAGCATTTGATGACAACGTGGAGCATCCGCCGTAATACTCCGCTTGGCCCGCCGCGGATAGTTGGCCTGAACAGCTTCTGGGATCTCAAGGAGCTGCCACCAGTGTTTAAGACGCTCTTGTCCATGAACCACCAGGGATACGAGTTGTAGTAAATTGCGACTTCTCTCATTCACACACTCCATAAAGCTGTAAGGCATGACCTCCTCCTCTCCGACTATAATATGTTCCAATTGGGCAAAGACATTAGGAGCCGGAACCCTTAGAAGCTCCTGGTGTAGCATCATTGCTCCGTGCTCTGATCCCAGCAACGATAGCCTCCCTGTACGGTTGGATAGTTCTGGAAAGTCCAGGATATAGTGCAGCACGTAGCTGTCCAATTGCATATCAATGGCTAGCTGGTGTAGGAACTGAAAAGAGAATGTAATGTCATGAAAATCTAATACATATATTAAGTTCTCCACTCACCGTTGCCAGATAGGGAAGCGCTGCATAAAATACAGCGTCCAGTTTGAGATCCTCATAAAGTAAATGCAGACTGAAAAAGATGGCAGGGATCATTTGGAAAAGCGGCGCACTAATGTTCACACTGTAGCTATGGCCATCGGCTCCACAGGGTGCCAGTGTTGTCTGGAGCAGAAGGAATTCCCAGTCGTCGTCCGTGAAATCTTCACAATCATTGTATTTTCGCCGCTTTTTCGGCTCATCCTGAGCGCCTAGCGTGGAATTAGAACTGCAATTGGATCCGTCACCCGATCCCGCTGTAGTAGCCCCTCCGAACTGTGTATGCAGCGGTGGCGTGGCACATCTTCCATAGCTCTCGCCGGTCTCCACATCCGGCGCTGCAGTCAGACCCATTAGGGCCAACAGAGTGCTTCGGAAAAGCAGCCATTCCTGCTCTATGGGATAGTCCCTAGATCCCGGTGGATTCCTAGCACTGTACCAACGAATTACAAAATGTAAAAACTGGCCGGGACTAAGAACCTGTCGCAAAGTAGCTATACATCTGGTGAGCAATCGTGTATCGTTCAAAAGAGGTAGCGCTATTCTCAGCATCCTGCCCGTGGCATAAACTAAAGTCAACCTATTTCCCGCTGGATCTCTCAGGGATTTGCAGACATTATGTGCCTGCCTTTGCGTATAGGAAACCGGCTGCGGTTGGATGGGCGATAACATGTGCAGCTCATCATCGAAAGCAGCTAAATCGCCGGGATCTTTTGTAGGCAAAAGGCTGCTTCTTCGCACCATAAAGGAACTGCTCCCTGAAGGATTGTCGCCTGCAGATGGTGTTTTTAAAGTTGAAGGTGGCCCAGCAGCCATGGGTGTTACCAACGGCGAAGGAATGGAACTTGGAGCCAACAACGGCGTAATGTGCACCTTCGAAATGAGTACAGTACCAGTGTATAGGATTAAACTGCCACTCGGATCAAGGACAGCAATCATGTGCATTCTATTGAGACCTACTGCATCCTTGGCGGCCAGCGTGGATGCAAGTGTGGATAGCTGCACCTTGCTGCTGCCGTAGCCAGTGAGGCGGACCAACTGAAGGCGGCAGGAGCGAGCTAGTAAGTAGCAAAGAAAGGTCTGACCCACCAAATCCGTGTGGATAAATGCTCGGGTAGCCATCTCGCAGAACTCCCGTTGGCTAAAATCAATAATTCTAGTTATTGAAGTCACAACTTTTTCTTAAGAATACTTACGTTCCATAGGTATTCTCTGTCCAGATGTGCTCGAGACACATTTCTGGTTCAATGGGCTTCGCTGGCTTTACGTGCGTCATGTTGCGCATATCCTTTACAGACATGGACTGCTGGCTGATGTTACTCTGCAGTTGACTTAGTGGAGTACCCAAGGAAGCGCGACTGTTCGAGAAATAGACACAAGATCAAGATGGGAAGCCATGAGGCGTAGAGTTAGGAGTCAAACCTACTTGGACTGTCCAAGAACTCCACTGAATGACTGCGACTGGCTGAGTCCAAATTTGGAGAGGTTGCCCATGCCGGTGGTTGTATTATTCCTGCTCAGAAACGAGACATTCGAAGCTTTCGGCGTCGCTGGCAATAAAATACAGTACATTTCAACAATCCTAGTTTCTTGGGTATGCTACTCACCTCCAGTTTGCTTGGTGGAATTGAAGCTATTTCCTGCCGCTTGCGACCTGGCGCCCAGCAGCGTCTGTCCCAGCTCCTGCTGTTGACCCACATAGTTGACTTCCTCAGGCGTGACCTTCCTTAGGCGGGCAACGAAATGCTTAAAGAACTTCGCGTCGTAGAGCAGCACCAAATCTGAATCTTCGGTGGTAAAGACCACACTGTACTCCGGCTCGGTCATGTAGCCCGTGGAGTTGGTGGCCGTTTTCAAAACAACGGGACAGGCTTCGTGCAACGGATGCGAAATGGAAAAGAGTCGCGGCATCGGAATAGAAAGGTGCGATATTAGGGCATTGCTAGAATCCTTCTCCAACAACAGCCCATGTTTGGTCTGCCAGACCTGCGACACGGGAAAGTCCAGATTGGCCAGAAAGTCCTCGCCGTCATTGCAGTAGACCCGCAAAGCGTCCTGATCCATCACACAGATAGCAGTCAACTTGTCATCCTGCGACTGGACAGCCGCCTTGAGTTGTGCAAGACGTCCGCGCACAAAGCTCCGGTTGAGGAAGCACGCAAAGCGCACCGGTGAATCGCTGGTAAAGCACATGCGCCGGTACACTCCGCTGTCATGGTCGTCATCGTCGTTAAAGCCCTGTGTCCAGACGACCGTGTTCCTGTGAACATACAACTCCTCTTCATTGTTCACCATATAGTCGCACATAGGCTCCTCGCGTCGTTCTAACGGCGGATGCAGCAAACTATGAGGCAGCGAGGTGAGTTGAGTGGCCGCCGCGGCATTGGGACCACATCGTTTGGTCTGCTCGATTAGTTGGCGCCGCCGGGCAGCGCGATCTTCAGAAGCCTCGTAGTCGTCGTACATTTCTCGAATAGTCCACGACTCCTGGGCTCCGGCAGGGCAATCCTCACCAGCCGACGAGATGTTCACATTCTGGAGGCGCTGCAACAACAAGTGCTCCGTGGTGGGCAGCTGGTGGCGAGCCAACGGCTGGTCGTGCGGACCGGGGTGCTCTGCGGCGGACTGACGGCCGCGCGGCACAAACTCCAACGGCGGTTCTGCGACGGCGATCATATCCGCCTCGCCAGGTGCATCCAGAATTGCGATTAACAAATTTATTAATTACGAATTATACGGCCCGCCGTAGAGCTTCTGTCGATAACTAGTAGATTTCTATCGATTCTGTTTCGATAACAATGCTTGCCTGAAGGGGTTATACAGCAATTAGCTTTGATCCGCTAACGTATCGGTTATACGATAAATCTGGCAGCATTGGCCCGGTGCTTTTGTTAGGATTTTTCAATTAGATTTTTAATATTAGTTTCATTTATAAAAGGAAACGGATACGGAGGTGGAGATTCTGGTGAAGATTGGCAATGAGCAGCGGCACCGCCGGCTGCAAGCGCGTGCACAGCATCGAGGTTGAGCAGCCGCTGGAGTCGGAGCGGGTGGAGCACGGCCTACTTCTGGTCAAGGGAAGATTGGTGCCCAAGTGTTCCACGGCGCGGCAACTGAAGGCCACCCTCGATCTGCCCGAGCATTTGTCCCGTGAACAATTGACCCAGCTATCGTCCACTGGCGAGTTCAAGCTACTATTCGACTTGGAACACGGTGATCCAGAGGAGAGAGCCTGCCTCTTAGAATTGCGTTCCTGCAGCGCCGCCCGTTCGATTTGTTTCAAGCACAAGCCCCGCAAAAGCTCCTACCGGGTGCAACCGCTCTATCTACTTTGCCGGGACGAGGAGAAGCCTCTGGAGCAGGAACGTGAAGTGCAATCCCAAATTGATCTCAATTTGCGTTTGGTACAATCCATCTATGCCCACAAATTGCAGTCAGCTGGCTTTCCCAATCGCACATTTACCCTGAATGGACAGTGTTGCTCCTTCCGAAGCCAATTGACCAAGAAACAGGCGCTAGAAAAGAGCGAGGACGAGCTGTGGCAGCACTTTGCCGGCGAAATCATCGCCTGTCCGCAGTGGGGCCAACAACTCCTTCTCAAGTTCGTGGCTTTTGTAGGCTGCACACGCTACGACGGTGAAGGAGTGTTAGCCAGTGGTGACTTCTCGTATGCCAACATCCGGCGACATCTGAAAGGCCACGCTGCTCTCGGGGGCGGCGGACTGGCGCTCTTTGGCAGTGCCCACTTTTACGCTTGGCCCAAGAGTTTTGCTGAGATCGGCGACTGTGTGCGGAGCACCGAAAGGGTGGACATTGCCCGTCTACCAGACGAAAGCAACTATAGGCGAACTTACGGCGGCGTATATGCCAGCACCTTGGGTGCCGTGTGCCACGAACTGGGCCACTGCTTCGATCTGGGCCACACCACTGAGGGGGTGATGGGTCAGGGCTTCGACTATCTGAATCGTGTGTTGACTGTGGACCAGCCCACAGAGCATTTGCCCCAGAGGATTGTGGAATCGAGGAGATCAGCGGGATCTGTTGCTCCTTCATCGGATGGGGGATCCTCATCTGGCAACCGTCCTCGCTTCACCAAACTAAAACTGCAGCCCAGTAGTCAGCTACTGGACAACTATCACAACCAAAGACTTAACGATAGCTTCTATTTTGCTCGCAATTGTGCCGTGATCCTGGCACATCATCGCTGGCTCAATTTGGAGCTGGAGGAGACAGCCGCCGCTAGCTTTGAACCTGCTGAAATCAAATTGAGCTTCGCCACCAGAGAGATCGTGTCCAGCAGATCCATTCGGCTGGTCGAGCTGCGGTGTAACCAGAACAGCCTAGTTGCCCACTACGAAGAATTTGAAGGGACATCCACGCTTCGCTTTCAGCTGCCCGCTTCCCTGTGGCATCTCCTCGCGGAGCAGTGCACCCATTACGTTTTTGTGCTGACCACCAGTGGTGACACTAAGCGGCTTTCCTGCGACTCCTAAGATTGGAAGAGTGTAGAACGTTTGGAGGAGCAGTAGTCTTATTTGGATTTCAAAGTTCAGGTTAGTTCGCTTTCTTTATTCTGCATAATGTTAAATACTGTATAATTAGACCATTAGTATTAGGCTATTAATTAATTTAACTATAAAAAAATGTAAAATGTGCTCAAGGTATTTCACATTTCAAAGCGTGGACCCTCCTCAATCATAATTTAAAATTCACATATAGAGTGACCCATTTTGGCAGGAGCACCTGAACTGCTCAAGCTTGTGGTTTTGTCGGAAGTCAATCCAATTAAGGAGCAATCAATTAAGGTGATAAACATTCTGTTATAGTTTTCCAACCAGCCAAACAAACCCCCTGATAACACCACCTATCGTCGTTGAGTCATAGCTTTATTATCAATTTCTTGGTGACGTTCGGTTGTTGCTTTCCCAAAATCAAATTGTGAGTTTTATAATGATAGATATATAATAAAAAAAAATCACCATTCGATAAAGGTTTTGGGTAAAGGAATCACGTACATAAATCAATGGAATTTTCAAGAGCTGATAACCTTATCAGTTGATTACTTTTATTAAAAAATAGGAGGTAGCTATTTCTTACCTAACTATTAATTTTTTATTTTAAATGTTGATTTTGTGATATGCGATTTATAATATATATATTTTGAATAATGTTCACTGTGATAATTTCCAACTACATCATTTAAGTATTACTTGTTGATCTAAAGGTTTAGTCATAATAAAAAGTTCTCATAAAGTGCTTAAAATTCAAATTAAAATGTACATTTTTAGATTAAATTTGTATAAATTAAAGTAATTTAATAATTTATAACGAGCTTAATGCCAAGAAAATTTTACTTTTTGCCCATGGTGCCCAAGTAGAGCTCCGATCGAATCCGGTTTTGTGCCAACTGCTGTTGAGTTAGCTCCATCGGATCGAGCGCTCTTTCGCTCATTGGCTCTCAGCGGATTGAAGCTAAGACACCAGCTTGCTTGTTGTGTTGTGTCAAATGGGTTAGAGCTTTGCCCTCTTACCCTTCCCCCTGAATAGTGAATTGAATCTTGGGGGCCAGGCAAAATAGTATTCCACTTGTATTTTACTCTCCATTATCGCAGCAGCGAGGGAGAACGTCGTTCGATAGCGACGATTGAAATAAAAGCGAAAATACAAAAATCATAGCAAATAATAATATTCAACTTCGGCGCTGGGTAATAACGATAAGATAAACACCGAAAATCGTGTTTGAAAAACTACAAATTTTCGCACCACCATTTGCAGATTTGTGGTCAGTCTTCGTTGGGATTGCTTTGCGGTCGGAACACATTAAATCGAAATAGGAGCACATAATGGCAGCCAGCGAGGGTTCGGCGCGAATTCAGTTCAAGGCGTTGAAGGGATTTCCGGCAATCACCACTGATACTGATAAGCTGGAGACACAGGCCTTCCTCGCCGCCTCCAAGGAGATAGTAACCGTCATAGGTGATAACGCACCCAAACCAATCAATTTAACTACCACGTATACTCATGTGTGTTTTATTTTACACTTTTGTTTCAGAGAGCTTCGGCAAGCTATTTACGCCCGTAATCAGCGACATGAACGGAAACATAAACGTAAGATCGATAAGCAAGAGGAAATATGTAAATTACAAGTTTAGCTCTTGAAGATCAAGATCATGATTGGTTTCCTCGTAAAGTCGTATCGAATTTTCAACTTAAAATAGTTTAAAAATTCCATTTCATTTGATTGTGCAAATGGAGTTTCTAAAAGATGTTCATTATTAATTTACAATAACCTTGATATAATTATTTGACATCAAAACATGAAGCATCCATAATTTCAATTATTTCGTTAACGATTTTTAAATGGATCTGTTTTCTAGAATGGAACTTTTACTTTTATTTATAATTTACCATTTACTATTTAAAAAAATTCTATTTAGATTTCCAAAGTGATTTGATTTTCTAAAGCATTGGAAATGATCAAATATATTAAGGAGGTTAGAAAGTATTACAGATAATATATATTCTTTTCTTTTAATATAAAGTAATATATTAATAACACTGATCCTTTTGGTTTTTAGAAACTAACGAAAGCCTACGGAGTGGATGTCTTGAAATATCAATATCTGGAGGATTTGATTGTGCTGAATGTCAACGTTGACGACTTTGCGGCCAACGCTCTGCTTTGGCTAAAGCGCGGCCTTCAGCTGATTTGCACTTTCTTCGAGAATATCTACAACGATGCCCAGGCCAAGGAGGCATTGAAGCAGCACCTGCAGGACGCCTACGAACGCACCCTGAAGCCCTATCACGGCTTTATAGTCCAAAGCACAATTAAGGTGAGTTCGATTGACCCTTCTGTCTTTTTTTGTATATTTACAACGACCCCGCCTTACAGATCATCTACAGCTGGGTTCCTACACGCAGTCAATTGCTAGGCCAAGGAGCAGCTCAGGTAGAAAATATAGAGGTGCTGACCAGCTTTCTGCCTACTATGCGTGCCCATTTGGACTCAATCGATGCCTTACTGAAGGCGCACAATCTGGACGATGCACGGAAGGTGTGATCGGTGCGATCATACCATTCCTTAGCTTAGCTTAGCTTAAATAGCTTATACTACTTTATTATTTATGCCAATGTCCAAGTAAACCTCAGAGCCTTACTACACCCCTGCTGCTTCTTGTTGATTCACTTTGATTCCGGGGAGCGTCGCACCCGTCGCTTTTGCTCACTGGATGTAGGCGATCCTATGGCCGATAGATGCTCCTCCATTGGCAATTCCTCCCCTTCCGGCGGCATTGACATCTTCCGTCTTGGTTTACAGATTACAAAGTGAATCAGGGATACGATTACTTCTAAGACCATCAGTGCAAACACAGCATTCGTGATGATGCGTAGCCATAAACTGCGCCCGGCAGCCGACAGGCGGAGAAAAACCATGGCTGGTAGCTGAATGCAGGGTGTCACTGTGAGCAGCAACCACATGGCGGTGGCTCCAGAGCATAGGTTCACTGAGTAGCCGGCGTACAAGCGCATGGATTCAGCGGACACGGCCAGGCTGTAGGCCACCAGCATGGATAGACCCTCCCAGTTCCACAAATGATTTAGCTTAAGGGCAATAGCAAAAAGGTTAATGCGAAAAGAGTATTTCTAATATGTTTACTCACTCGGATGAGCATGTGTATCATGTAGCTCATGGCCCAAACCATGGACACATAGGTATTGGCCTGCAAGAGCATTTGAAGCACCAGGTTTGCCCGATGTGGCGCCACAGAATATGCCATCTTAACTATAGTTTTCCAAAAGGCGTTCTGATATTTACAATCCAATATCTGGGTGTTCTAGTACTCCAATTTAATATAGATGTGGACTACTAAGATGTTGGCACTTCCAGCACTTTCGTTTGTTGTACTTTTACTTGGTTGTCAGGGTAACGTAATCAGCTGAAAAGGACGATTTAGTTCTCAGTGCTGCGACTCGAGGGATATACTGTCGGTTGCTGGACTTAAGCTGACTGCTTTTACACTCAAAAAGAACCTTTCGTTAAAATATTACTATTCCATAATATAAAATGATTTCTCCTTTTCTCTCCAAGATTTATATTATTTTTGACACTTAAAACATTCCAAAGTAACTTGATTAAAGAATAAATCGAGCATTAACTTTTCTTATTAAGAATCTTCATTGCTCAACGCCACCGCTACCTAATAGTTTTAAATTACTTGGTAGCTTTTCATAAATAAATAAAAATTAACAATCTCATACTTAAAGAGATTTGAAAACACAGGAAGCACTATTTTATGGCGTATCAATTGACAAAACCACCATGACATAAACTATTTAAAAAAGCAAAGCTAAACGAATAAGAACAACTACTGCGAAGTTCAAGATTGACTACGACATGCAGCAGCAACGGGTGAGCTGCTGGTGTAGCTTGTTGTTCATCGTTCTGGCCAACGCCATCTGGCAGGTGTCCCTGGGTATCACCACGAAAGACCGTCGGTCCCAATGCCTGCTTCCACGACTGATCGGACAGACCAATTGCTCACCGTGTGCCGAGCTATATGTTTTCAATCGGAACAGCGGTTACCGGCGATGTGAGCACGTTAACGGCCGATGCTTCCAATTTAGCACAGTCTTCACCACCGCCCGCATGTGCGAGAGCACCTGCCAACCGTTCATACTCCGACCCACGCTCCACGAGAAGACCACTCCGGTGCCACTGATATTAGAACCATTCATGGACAGCGATGAGGAATCTCTATGAGATTTTTAACAAAAATTGCGCACTTTTAATTGATTTGGGCATGGGAATGATTGGTTAGGATGGTAATGTGTAACAAAATCATTTAAGGACATTCAGATCTAACAGGGAACACTGGTGCTGATAGCCACTTCCAAGGCAGTCACTGCAAGATAGAAAGATTGTAAGCCAAGATCAGCATTTTCAGCCATTCAAAACTTACAGAATCCGTGGTCGTGTTTGTACACCAGCGAGCTAAGAATCTCTGCCAGTGTCTGATGGCACCGTATGTATGTCATCTCGATCTCCAATACCTGATTAAGAGCCAAGTACTCCATACCCCGGGCGTCTGTATCGCTATCCGACTTACTGTCATCCGAAAAGGTAATATCCAAGGAAAGGGCATCGTTTTCGCCCAGATAGCTGGCACAGGTTGACCACTCCATGTCCAGCACAAAGACCAGGTGGAAGAGCTGATCGAGGGCGATGCGAAAGGCATCGAATTCGCCGGTCAGCAGGCAATGGGTCTTCAATAGCGACAAATACTCGTCGTGCAGAGTCCTCAGCTGTCGGATGTTCATGCACTTACCAATCTGCAGCTCAAACTGCTGACCCAAAGCCTGCATAATGTGTGTATGCAGGCTGTTAATGAGGTAAATCAACCAAAAGCGCAAGATCTCCAGCCGACGAATGGTTAGTCCGAGCAAGTCTAAAGGTTCATAAGGCTTTGTATTGCGGCGACGCAAAAAGGCGAGATTCTCCAGTTTCCAAACTGCCCACTTTAACTTTAACATAAGACGCCACACCGCATTGTAGTCTTTCATATGTCTATCCGTTAGGATTCGCTGCATACCCACTGGCATGTCGTAGACCAGTTCGAGAGCCTCCAGGGCTTCATATACTTTAGATGAAGTGCAGAAAACCTTTGATATTATCTTCACTTGAAGGTTGTTAGCCAGATGGGGGTATTGTGGAAATAACACCTTATTGAGTTTGGAATTGAGGACTGAACCCTGTGCCCAGTTTACGGTCTTCTCAATTCGCGAGAAAAGTGCATTGTAGTAGGGCAGGAGTATATAGTACGCCTCCAGCATCATCGTATGCCGCAGGAACCGCAAAATCTCGCCCATCTCCAGTTCTTTGCGGTAAGCTCGCATCGCGTACTCATTTGCCAGACATTGCCTCCTTTGTAGAATTTCCTGTAATGCTTCTGGTATCTCTGACTTTATCTGCAGGCAAGTGGAGCGGTCTAAACGTCTCAGTATGTTGAGCAATTGAATTGGCTTTTTTGTGCCCCGTTCGCGTCGTCGATCTAAGAGTCGCTGTTGCACCGGATTTGTAAACTTTACAAAAAAATTAAGGTTCCGAATGCCCTGGACATTGTTCGCTAGTCGCTTATCGGCAGCAAGCAGCATGTCTTCCTCCAGATCTGCGGCTTCCACATCATCCATTGATAAGCTACTACAGTAAACTTTTAGATGACTAAAGACGGTAGTGGTAAGCTCATCGTATAGCGATGGCCGTTGGGTTTCGTTACTGGTTGTCAGCATCTCGCCCAGCAGATTAACGTTAGCTAGCAAGTCCTGCGTTTCTCCAGACTCTAGAGCGTGTTCCAGCAGTACCTTGTAAATGGGGCAGGAGTGCAGTTTTCTGAAGATCCCCACGACTTCTAAACTTTCATTAGGATCCAAACAACGTTTGCGCACATAACTACGACGATCCGTGTCACCATCGACCCTTAAAAACAAAAAAGGTTACAAATTGGATAGCCAAAATATTAAGCTATTACCATCTCTCGACGATAAACTCGTTCAGGTGATCTTCCAGCGTGGCTTTCCGCCACCAGCCGTCAAGGATATTACAGTATCGCTTCAGGGAAACAAGCAGCAGGCCTGTGGCCAGCTTTTGGCGTGGCAAATGTGGCAGGGTGTGCTTGTAGAGTCTAGATAGCAAATAGGCACTGCGCACGTGCGGAGGTCCTATATCCAGGATAACATCTTCGGCCAGGGAGCGCAACAACTGAAGCTGGCAAAAGTGTTCCTTAAATTTAAGCATAAAATTGATTAACGTGTTTCTCGCGGGATCCCTAACTACATGCTCCTCGTAATCGATGAGAAGCTGTCGAATTGGTTGGATAAGATCCCGTAAGGCGTAGGCAAAGCATTCTACAGTACCCACTGGGCAGTTGCCACCATAGTGCAATGTGTGAACATCGATGAAACGCCGCAGCTTCATCATGTCCTCCAGCGCTGGCACAATAATATGTTGCAGCAGACTCTGCAGTGCGCTCTAGAACAGTGAATAATTATTAGGATATTAGGACTAACATCATAGTTACGCGTTCTTACCGCTGTCATAGTGCAGATGGCAACATTATTGCGGACACTGATGCGTCGCGTCTGCGTATCGAGCTCGAAAAAACAACAGTTTGTTGGACGCGCAAACATGAACAAGATTTCCCTTAGCAGGCAGGACTCCGTACTGGTTTTGGGCAGTGGCAGATTTAACAAGCCACCAGAAGAATGGTTCAGGAACTGCAGATAGCTGACGGCAAAGTTGTCAATTGGATTTTCACCCGAAGGCAAGGCGTATACCTTAACAGCATCGCGCCACCAGTAAGTGTGTATTGTTCGCTCAAGCACATTTGTATTCCGGTCACTTTTCTTATACTCGGTTGCTATTGCTGGCAGTTTTGGTGCATCCAACTGGATCAATCTACTTAATCTGAGTGGACTGTCCTTATAATAGATCAAGGTTAGCGCTAGAGGCTGGGTAATCTTGAAGACATTAGGCTTGATGCCACGGTCCTCGTGAACCGGGGGCAGATAACTTGTGTTTCCACTCTCGATTGGAGCAGCGACTAGCATGGCCTGCTCATAAACAGTGGCCATGTCTGTGAGGCTCCGCGAGGTGCCTTCATTCTCTTCGGGTCTCAAAGTACTCGATGAGTCATAATCCGATTCATCCGACCAGTCCTTTTTGGAAAGAAAAAAAGTGCATTATTATGCTGCACAAGTCTGAAACTATTAGTCTCTATTTTAACTAAAGCCAAAATGACTGCGTTTAACTAGGTAATAGGTAATAGGATAGGTAATAAAATTAGAAGCTTACACTCAAATCTTCCGAGCTTTCATCCTCTGGTGAGTCCAAAAAGTCCTCGCTTAGCAGCGCTGTCCAATCCACATCCGTTTCGAACGAATTGATCGGTGTCTGGCAGACCGCAGCCTCTCGCTTCCGCCGCGCTGCCTCGTCAGCACTAGCTATCATAGACATCCTACGATGGTTCATCTCAACCCGGTTGCGACGTATGTTCTGAATCGGATCATTGCTCATGAGGAGCAGGAAGTCGAGCACTGTCCATCCTACATCCGGATTCTGGTTCTGTTGGATTTCAGGCAGTGCCAAGAACTTATTTGCCATTTCCCTAATAGTATTTCCGAACGTTGACATTCCCTCTATCCGCAAACGTTCCACCAGCTCGTCCAAGGTGCGTTTCACATCCTTGCCACTGGGGCTCCAATTCCAGCGGTGCTTGGCGATAATCTTCAAGGCCAGACGTTCCATCTTGCGCAACTCCCGCTGGCTGGTCTGCGTTAGAACATGGATAATTTGGATCCGGGAATACATCTGCTTTCAAACTCACCTTCGGATCAGCTAGATTTCTGACTAATTTCTTCACATTTTCATCGTTGAGGGCGTTCATCTCTGCGCCGGTCAAATTTCCGTAATCCCGATCTGCAGGAAGTGCCATTTTGCTAAGTTTTTGGATTAAAAACTAAACAAAATGATACACAAATGGCGCCTTCCTGGCAACAAAAAGATTTCTCAACCGGGAATAGCTATCGGTGAGGTTATCGATAACACTGAAACTATTGGTATGATTAAGGATCACAATTTACACTATAAAAAACACCTTTGAATAGGGTTTCTGTAAAGAATCATGCCCACCACGGAGCATCCGAAATGCACCGGAATCATCATCTTTTTTCAGCTTTACACCTAATATAAATTGTGGTGGAACCACCAGGGAGCTAGTTCAAAAAACACAACTATCGATTAAATCCATAGAAAAAAAATGTAAACAAAGTCATATGTTCTTAATTTGAATTGAATTTCTGGACAGGATCATGACCACAAATCCGCTTCATCCCACCTACATAATCCTAGGATCCGGCGGTCACACAGCTGAGATGTGCCGCCTGACGCAGGCATTGCTGCAACAGACGAATACCCATCAAGCAGAGAAGTACCAGTCGATACACCTGATCCTGGCCAACAGCGACTCCACCTCTGAGCACCAGTTTAGACAGGCCCTGCCGGTAGAATCCAAGAAGGCGGAAGTCTTTAAGGTGCCGCGCAGTCGTAGCGTGGGCCAGTCCTGGCTAAGCAGCATCTTCACCACCCTGTGGGCGCTACTGTGGTGCTGCTACCTGGTCTGGCGAGATCGCCCCCAACTGATCCTATGCAACGGACCCGGCACCTGTGTGCCCTTTTGCTATGCTGCCTATATGTGGCGACTTCTTGGACGACTGCCAGCGCATTCCAAGATCGTTTTCGTAGAGAGCTTCTGTCGAGTGAAGTCGCTCTCTTTGAGCGGACGCCTGCTTTTGCCGATAGCGGATCTCTTCGTGGTTCACTGGCCAACGTTAGCAACACGCTATGCGAATAAAAAGAACATGCGATATTTTGGGCGCATATTGTAAGAGTTTTTTACTCGAAAAATGCAAACGAAAAAAATCTTATAGTAAACAATTCGAAAAAATTAACATTGTGGCTAGCTTCATATGCTTGGTATAAGGAGTGGAATGTCCTAACGCTTACTTTTTTTTTTGCAGAGAGAGCGATGCGCCTCCATCTGGTGGCCCATCAACTCTTGACCGCAATTGAAACAGCTAATGGTCTGTTTGTATAGATTGCGCTGCCGACGCTGACGAGGAGTGAGCTCATCCTCGCTGGACAACACTGTGGGCGAATCGCTGGAAGAGCTTAGGTTTAGCTCGTCAATTTCCTTGTCTGTGTATCCGACGTTGCGAAGAATTTGCTTAGATGAAATATTCTTTGACTTCGCTTTAGAGCCTTTGGAGGTATCGGTTGAACTTGGGCGGCTGAATTTGGACTTAACCGATGGCGGTTCTATTCGTACCGTGATAGTACAGCCCTCGAAATGATTTGCCAGTTGCGTACGCTTCATCTTCTCAAAGCAAATGGGACAGGAGACAATGTCGTTATCTATATTGCTGGAGTATTTTGAGCAGCTTGGCTGCACGGCGTTTTCCCGCTGAAACTCTTTCAGCAGCGTGTCCTCACCGAAAAGATCATCGATGATGGACTGATCGGCTAGTTCTGTGGCCGCTGTAAGACTGTCATTGTTAGCTGCAACCTCATCGTCGTATTCGTCATCAATGAACTCTATATCGCCTTCGGAATATGTCGATTCATCTTCCATTATCTCTCGCTTAATGCACAGAGTGCGCTCATGACTGCTCATGGTATTTCTACCGCCTGGTATAATTGATACTTTCGTCTCCGCTGGTTGACCATCATTATCTTCGTCGCTGTCGACCAAATCTATCACGGGTACTTCGACACCTCTGATCATCAAATCATCGTCCCAAGATTCCCAGCTTACTATATTGTCTTCATTAGACATACGACGTCTCTTATTCCCGGTCTTTACTTCAGGTTTATCTTGCTCCTTTGTAGAATCAACCCCACCAAATCGCTCTAGGCGCATTTTTCGGAGTACAGATGGATCGGGACTATCATTAGTAATATCAATGACATCCTTACTATTAGATCCACCAATGCTGTAACCATGTCCGGTCATTTCAGTAGTTGTTTTTAAACCTGAACTTGGAGGTTCTTCTTCTTGATTACTTTTGTTGAGGTCGCCGAAGCTTTTGACATTTGCGCCACGGGGTTTAGCCGCAGCTGGTGGCTTGGGGATGGTAAAGGGATCGGTGGAGGGTCCTGGATAGGAAGTGGGTGGAACGGCACTCACAAGATTACCCAGAAGAGCAGCTTCTGTGGCTTGTTTCTTGGCTGCCGGCTTACTCAGCCAGTTGCGTATGCCATCTTTGGGGGCAGCCAAAGGTGGAGCAGGCTTCTTTGCCTTAGGCTTCCCCTCTGGTTTTACAGGTTTTGATGGTTCACCAATTTTCATGAACGTGCCGCCACATTCTCGTTGGTGCTTCTCCCACCATTGGTCATTTGGACCGGGTGCCCGGTTGCTGGTACGCTTTACATAGCCCTGAAACGGTGTGCGGTTCTGACAAATTCCCGTGCAGCGCCAGATGTGAGTGCGATAGGCGGCGACCTCGTCGTGGAACGAGTGATAAACGGTAATGTTGGTACCCGCCACCTTATTAATCGTCTCCATGATGCGCTTAAAGTTGGGCCCATGACCCCCATTGCCTTCACGGATGTTGAGCACAAAGCAGTAGGCGTGGATCATTTCGTGCTGGATAAAACCAAAAGGAATGTGTTATGATTAAAAATACATATAGCACTGCAGAATATAAGCACTTTAATGAGTAAACTGCGCAATGTAAATACGCAATTTATAAATCCTTACCAGCATAGTTTCAACAAGATCCTTGCGTGGGCGCAGCTTGAGCAGCGGCTCGCTTAGGCGGATAATAATCTCCTTAAAATGTCGATTGCCTCTCTGGTAGCAGATTCCTGCGCACGAGTACATCCGCTTGCTCCATTCGAGTGCAACGGCGCCCAGGCGCTTCTGGAAGAACTTATCGTCGAAGCGGACGAACATGGAGAATATGTCCGGATTCGGATCGACCAACTCCCATTGCGGATGCACCAGGTTCATCGTCTGGTTTAGATAATCATCATGGCTGTCCTGAATGGCGCGCCTTGGCTCCTTTTGCGACGCAGCGGGTCCAACCCTTGTGGTCTTTTTGTTTTCCATTGGTTTCTTTTTTGGTTTTATATATATAACAAGAGAAGTTTAGAATTCGGGTTAATGTGGAGTTCAAACAAGTAATGCTAGAATGTTCATGCCACTCACTGATTTTGGGTAGACGAACTGGATACTGGTGTCCAAATCAGTGGCCCCGCCTCCTTCGCTCTCACTCTCGGAGTTTAGAAGGGCCTGCATCTTTAGGGCCATCTCATAGTCTGATTCCTGCAAAAACTCCGTTATAAGGGTTATCAGTTCCTAATTACCATGTCTAACTACGTACTTTGTTGACATCCGCACTTGCTGCGGTGTTATTTTCTGCTTGGTCGGAATTTAGCTGTTTGTGCAGCATAAGAGCTAACATATAGTCGCTATCGTCCGACATGGTGTAAGCCCCGTTGCCTAGATGGTAATTTCCAGCTACAATTTGTGGCGCTATTTCCAAGAAACAAATTGTTTTTAAAACAATAACTTTATCGATATGTGAAGGAACAAGTTATCAACATGACTCCGACACATCGATAGGTGCTAGTATAGCGATGTTGGTAAACGGGAAATTTTTGTTCTGAAAATTCAGTTACAAAATTTTTAAAATTGAATTAAATTAGTTTACCCATAGTTGACAAGATGTTTGTAAACATAAATTGCGCTGGCGGCACTGGCGAGGAGTTAGGTCATCCTCGCTGGACACCACTAAGCGCAAAAATTCACTAAAGTTTTGAATTTGAATTAAATTACTGTACCTCTAATTTTTTTCAAAGGTAGTGAGTACAGCAAATTAAAATAAAATTGACCAAAAAAATCTTAAAAAGGTTATTTTTAAAGAAAATAAAAATGCAAGCAACACCATTTAACAAAGTTTGAAAAACCATTATTTTTCCGTGCATTTCACGCAGTGTGACCATTGAGAGATACCTAATTCGATACCATATGGTAGTCGGTATTAAGAAAAGCTTCTTTCTCTGTACGTTAAAAAAGAAAAATATTTTTAATGAAATAAATATTCACGTGCACTTCAAATTAAGTTAAGGCTATATTAAAGAATTACGTAGCTGTGAATTAATCATTTAAATTTAATATCAATTTACAAATTAAGCCCTGAATAGCAAAATTGAATTTAGCTCAAATTGTATGTGTTTAATTTAAATCATAATTATTTTGATAGCTTTCCATGTTAATAAATTATAATATTCCACAATCAATGAAAATACCATATAAAGTCCATCTCTAGTTGCAGCGCCTAAATTTAAATTCTTGGAATTAAATGTAATTCGCGCATGCGCAACATTACATGGAAGTTGGCCCTCTCATTGACTCTGAAGAAGGAACCCAGCTTGAAAAGCTTACTAACAGTTATATCAGTATATTCAACATAACAAACACGAATATTTAAATGAATTCTTCAATTGTATTGGTTCTAGGGAGGGGAAAAGTTTCGTGTATAAAGCCAAACAAATAAAAGCATCGATATCGAATGTCCTACGTATCGATGCTGGTGCATTGTCAATTTGCAGCTCATCACTTGAGGATTCGACATTTTGCAAGTGCTCGGTTCCGTTTCCGGAAAACTGCAGTCAATTTGAAAAGTGCCGGCAAGTAGTAAAGTGCACAAAGCAAAAAGAAAAATGAAGCATATTAGCAAGCGACAAAAAAAGCGACAAGCAGGTGCCGAAGAAGCTGATCCCCAACAGGAACCTGAGATTGCGGGTGCTGTTGAGAACTTCCCGCCGGCTAAGCCGAAAAATATTAATAAGAAAACTGAAACTAAACAAAATCCTGCAAATCTGGTAAGTCTACTAATCAATTTTATATTCAATTATTAAATTTTTCCCGGTTCAGGTATCCACCACAAAGCATACTCATAACAAGCCAGTGCCACCGAAACCACCGGCCAACGGTAAGTCATTCATTATCTCCTCCGATGAGGCTCGTCTGTCCGGCGTCATAAACAAAACTCGCGGAATATAAACAAATCGCTCATTCAGAAATTAATACTATGGTGGGCTTTAAAGGGGGGAACTTCAATTTGCTGACCACGGAATTGTTAGCCAAAATAAATTAAGTGCGAAACCATAACAAAAACATATTTCCCTGCTATAAATTTGTGTCATAATTAAACAATCTTTTGCTGAAATGTCCAATTCAAATCACATGTTTACATTCCTAACAAATTCTTTTTCGCGAATTGCTCTCGATTTTTTACCGGCTTATATTTCCGTTTTAGCCATCTCGCTCTTTTGCTCATACTAGTGTTGGTTAAACAAATACAAGTATGTGTAAGAATGCCATAAAAGAGGGAGAGGGAAGTAAAATGGTGCCTGTCAAATTACATTCACAATTATAAACACAATTTCCAGTTTCCCTCATTATTCTGATTTTCCCTTTAAGGAGTGCAGAAGTCAACAAGCGTAATTCGCCGGCACTTGAAATAAAAAATTAAAAAAAATATAAAATAGAAATGTGTTAAAAAGAAAGTGTCAACTTTGAGACGCCATCTTTAATGTTGTGTCCGTGTAATTTTAAGGAACCAAACCAAACCAAAAAAATATAAAATAGAAATGTGTTAAAAAGAAAGTGTCATCTTTGAGACGCCATCTTTAATGTTGTGTCCGTGTAATTTTAAGGAACCAAACCACGTTTTTCAACTTCTTTTTGTACCTTCTTTTCTCTCGCATTGTCTTTACTTCGTATTCAGTGTTTTTTTTTTTTTTGAAATAAGAAAAATGGAGTCCGAACTTTTTCAGAAAGTAAAAATATTATGAGGTAATGTAATTTTACTGATTTTTACCAATTTCCCTAAATAAGTAAATTATTTTTACGGTTTATATTAACATTAGCAAAGCTTTACACTTAATTATATACTTGAATAATAATATGTATGGAATATTCTTCTCTATCCTCGTTTATTAAAGAAAAATGGAAGCTTTCCTCGCGAAATATTTCGAACTAAGTTTACGTTTTATTGGATATTTCTTTTGTATATGTTTCAATTTGATTTAAAATTAAAAATAATAATCCCAAAACACCTTATAAATAGTAAACTTAATGACTTAATATAAAGCCACTCCTTTCTAGAGTTTGTTCTGGAATAGGTAGTAGAATATTTTATAGTAAAGATCTCTTGCAAATCATATTAGAAAATCAGGAAACACCTATCAATCTACCTTGTTGTATTTATACATAATAATATATAATTACATAAGTATGCCATATCTGAACATTTGTTTCCCACTCACAGACCATCGCAGACAGGATCGTTCGCCAATTGAGAAATTCAAAGCCCAGAGCAGCAGCAGTAGTAGCAGCAGCAGCAGTAGTAGCAGCCGCAGCTGTAGCCAAAAGAGCACTTACTGGACAAGCGGAAAGACGATGAACAAATACAACAGCAGCAACAGTGGCGGTAGTCACCACTCTGGTGATCCGGAGGTGCGCAGTCCCCGTGCTTCGATATACCACTTTCAAAACGCTCAGACCGTTACTCTGGGCAGCTTTATTGATCCGTTGCTGTCGAAGCTAAACGGGGGTAAATCATCGCCAAAGTCCCAGGAAAAGCCATCGCCGTCATCCGATGATGAGTCAGTAGTCTACATTAAGCCATGCACTTTTTCGATCGCCGAAAAAGACGATATACCTCACAAGAAAGATGCCAATATCCCTTTGTCGGTACCTAGTAGAGGAGCCATACCACGCACTTCAGTGCTGGTCAATGAACCGGATGTCGTGACATTGATTAGCATAGATATAGAAAGATTAATCGAAAAGAATGAGTTTCCGTCGCCAAATAATTGGAGCAACCCGTTTGGCCTTTCCTTTCTCAATCCACCCAATTCAGAGAAGACCGGTGTTAGTCTTTATGTTGGCAGCAAACACAATCCCATTGGCTACGAAATGTTGAAGGCCAAGAAGCAAAGGGAAAATCTGGAAAAGAAGTGTCGTCATGATGTGGCGAGACTAATACGAATGGTGGAGAGAGTTAGGTATCTGTGGAAGGAGTGCACACTTCCGCGTGGCAAATCAATTTGGAGTATTCTAAAGGTACAGGTTAAGGAACCGGAAGTCAATGGTCCCAAGCACAAGCAAAGGCCGCCACAGAAACAAAATGCTGAAGTGAGACCATACGGTCAGTATGGTCAATATCCAAATCCTGTTATTGTTCCACCAACCTATGTCTGTGCCCCGGGACGTTGGATTCCAACGCAACCGTACAATTATTATCCCGTCCATATTGGCTACTGGCAACCATACCGACAGCGACAACAACTTGCCCAACCCTATGTCAACCGCCCCCTGATCCGTCCCACCAAGCATGACAATTGGTGGGACAATGTGAACTTCATCAATGTCATAGCACAGATGGAGATGTTCCTCGCCAATTTGTCACCAGTTGAGATTTACGCAGCCCAAATGTACGCCATTTATGGCGAAGCCTTTTTCGAGTCTGCCTTGGGCAGATGCTATAAGGATAGCCGCCCCCACGAGAATAGTGTGGTTCCTTCGCCATATGTCCAATATCACCCATCCCCACAGCCAGTTTGCTATCAATCTGCTGTTCCAACGAATCACCAGGTGGGACGACCCCCTATGCCGTATCCGCCTAACCGCCAGATGATGGAACACATGCAAGTGAGTATTGGGGATTTTAAAAGTATCTCTTAATCTTCTTATCTTTCAGTTGACACATCCAATGTGGAACCAGCGACCTAGAGAACAGGCATCTTACCCAAGGGTATCTGGTCAGAGAGAGGACATGACCGCACACAAGGCAAGTCCTGGTGCAATGGGTTCAAGTAAGGACTGTCTTTTGAGTGACTATTTCAAAATTATACCAGCTTGACATTTATTCGCTTTTCCTTCTTGGTTTATCAAAATAATCCAAAATAGTCATTTAACACAAGAATAGTTTATATAGAAAAGCTAATGCACATATTCAAAGCTAGAAACATAGATTTGAACTCGAACACGAAACATGACACATGAAATTGTTACCTTGTTCCTAAAAGTAATAGCTTCCAATATTTCCGCAGACAATGTTCAATATGGAGGCCAGCAAAGGCGGCGTTGCGGCAATGAGTCGAACTCCGACAGCGACTGTGATCCATACTGGATCCACTGGTAGTGGATCGGTTGGACCAAAGGACTCCGTCTCGACTGCCGAAGCCCTCACCTTCAACAGTACGAACTTCCCACCGCTTCCCGTGCCTTCCAAGAAGTGCAGGAATTAAAAAGAGAGAGAATCAAACTTAAGAAATATTAATAACCTGGTGCTGGTTAAATATTAACCATTAATATTTTTATATACATATGTATATATATATATATATATATATATATATATATATAATGTTTTTTTTGTAACACGCATGTATCAATCGAAGATGTAGTTGATAATAGATCTCCACTGATCTAAAATCTAATATCATTTTAAAAAGCACGCACACTTCCAAGACTATCAAATAAAACTACTAATTTTCACGTCTAACTGGAGATTGGAGATACCTCATTTGTATCATAACTTTGTTATAGAAGTAGTTATATTTATTTTATACATATTTTAACATTAATTTAATTTATTTAATAACGCCATTTTTTACCATTCCCTTGCCAAGCAAAATCTTAGTCTAAAAAAATTTTGGCAGCCATTTTTTCCAAGTAATTTGTATTAAATACAAATACTTTGTTTTACAACGTTTATAGAATTTATTTTAATACAAAAACAATGCCAAAAAATTTCATAAAAATCAAATTTTTATGATATAATCTATAAAAGAATAAAACCGCGTACCAGCAAAACTATTTCTATTACTATTTTACTTTTATACTTATATTTAAATGGTTAATTTTATGTTTTAGTGAAGGGAAAACAAGATGGCCTCTTTATGTACATTCCTTCTCCTCCAACAACGCGTGTTTTTTACAGGATATCCGGTTAGGTATTTTCTATTTCCGGATTAGTCTCCATAAATACAGGTTTGGATTCCCATATATCCGGTACTTTGATTATAGAACCTATAACTAAACAGAGCCGCGTATTAAGAAAGGAAAATAATATGTCTGAGTTTTTTATTTAGACAAAATTATTTATGCAATGATTCCTGCATTTTAATTCATGGAGAAAACGGTCGACTGCTTGCGACCTTCTCATGGATTAAAACAGTCTGCGGCGTTTCGGCTGTTTTCCCAAAAACTCCGGTTTGGTAACGTCTATTTCTGAAATGGAAATATTCATATCCTCGATTGCTGGATAAACCTCCATGCTTTCTGGCTTGGTATTCTCGATTTCCGGTTTCATTTTCTCGATATCCATTTTCTTCTGGTTATACGATTTCTTCGGAGAATCGGACATCTCATCGCATTCGTCGATTGTAGGTAATCCTGGAGAATATTGGTATTTGTAAGGCTCAATGTATTCCGTATCACGGCCGCTAAAGCGAACAATCTGTTCTGGAGACTTTATGATCGTTATGGTGGATTCCAGACGCAATTGACGCATTTGACCAGCAATTTCTTGATCCAAGCTGGCTATGCTGACTAGGGAATTAATGTTCTTCCTGGAACATTGGCGTAAATACTCCAAACCTTTTCGTTTTCCACTAATTTCGGTCTTGACGATATTTTTTTCTACGTTAAGACATCGCTCATAAAGACCCCAGTTATTACAGTCCGTTTTCTTGGGCGAATCCATTTTTATTTAATTTGTTTTTCTTGAAAAAATCTGGCCTATAAAAGAAGCTAGTCGCAAAAGAAAGGATTACTTTTGAAATATTGACAGCTTTGGCAGGAAATAATAGTGCTGAAAGCGTTTTGGTTTAATAATACCAAATCCATTTCAGTCGTTGCATTTCTAATATTTTTTTTGTTTTTCTTAAATATTTTCTAAGAAAGAGAAAGTTGGCGCTTATAATTTTAAGTTTGCTTTCTAGCTTCGATAATGGTACGAATTTATCGATATTTACGAAACCGATAATCACGTCTGCCATCGATGTCTACAGTTCCATCCCTACTTTCTGGCCTAGCAATTGATTACATTTTTATTACTGAGCTCGGTCTCTGAAAAATATATTTTTCGACATTAAGCAATGGAGGCCCTGGTGAATTATAGTAGCGAGGACGAACAGGAGGATGCTGGCTACCAGATACGGGTAAATATAGCCACACCGAAAGGCCGGGACAGCTGAAAACTATCTAAATCGTCCGAGCGCATTTTGTGTACACTTTTCTTCTATCATTTTTTCTTCTTCATTTTGCCCTTGCTTGTGTGTGTGTGTGTGTGTGTGCGCTAATGCGTGTATGTGCAAGGCGTTAAAATATATAGATAACTGATCACCTAAATAGCAAAAATATTCAAAACCAATCCACTTAACTTTTAATTTAGTTAAAGTATCCTAGTGCTTTAGTAAAATAATGCGAATTTGCTGTTTCTGAATAGTTGCAAAATTCCCCTAGGCACCACAACAAAAAAAACTGCAACAGCCGTATGTTAAAGCAACAACAAATAGTAACTTCCTAAAGCAGAGGAATAACCACAACAATAACAATGGAAGCAGCGACGGCGACGTTGACGCCTGCAGAGGCAGAGATAGCAGCAACAACAGTCCAAGGGAAAAGGAAAGAGACAGAGTGAGGGAAAAGACGAAGAGACGCAATCACACTCCTCCGCTGCCGACGTCGCAGCAGCAGCAGAATCACAGGAGCAGTAGTAGCAGAGGCCGTTTTGATGAGGTAAAGAATTGCCGTTGCACCAAATCGATTTATTTCCTATATATACCATATCCTATATACGATATACTTATATATATATATTTATATATGTGTGTGTGTGTGTGTTTTTGGGTTGGAGCGGATGCGAACGTGAATCTTCCATGTGCCATTCATTTCCTTCCGCTGCAGCAATGCCAACTGTGTTGCCAGCAGCACTTACAGTGCCGGGCAATATAATAGCACACCGCATCAAATCAATAATGCAGCCTTGTTCTCAATTTCTTTGGCCAATGAATTGTTCTAAATTTCGCATTGAATTAAGGACATGCTTGCAAGGCAGAGCTTTAAATGTAGATTTTCATACATAAAATCTCTGGCAAAAAATAACCATCTTGTTAATATCCAATTGGAATTGTATCCAATGAGAATGATAAAGATAATGAAAACTCAAGAATCAAAATTAATATTTTCTATAAGGTAGTGGGATAATTATGTAGACTAGTTATAGCTTTTCATATCATCAAATCTAAAATTAGCGAACTCGTTATTAGGGCTTAGCCCCAATTAAGATTTAGTAGTCAATTGTTTTCCTGAGCCCTTGGCCCATTTGCAACGCTATTATTTTGTCCGCAGATGTAGCCTTCAATATATCCGTATATGTATGTAGCTATGAATATAAAAATCGATCTGCACGATCGGGGACATGCGCTCCAACCCTCCCCCTAAATATAAATTGTGTAAATTTAGCCACTGCCAGCTTGTTATTTATGAACCAAAATATGAATTTAAAAAAAAAAGAAAATTTCTGTTTATGTCGGTCTGCTTGTGATTACACACTTTGTTGTTGTTGTTTGGCCAGCTTAGTTAAGTTTACAAACTTTATATGCCAATTAATATTTAAATGACTAAACTCTACCATTTTATTATCATTGTTGTTGTTGTTACGTAAACGAAACCAAACCAAATCAAAATGAAAAGACATTTTCAAAACAACCAAAAAATAAATAAAAGAAAAGAAAAAGAATAGAAACCTGACCTACGACCATTGACGATATCCCGATCGTAGTAATCGCTCGATAACCAATAGCTACCTCGATAATGCGACAATCAATCAGATTTGTAAAGACTACTGTAAATGTAAAGTCTTGTGTGCTAATCTGTGGCTGTGTGTGGTGGTGGGTGTGTGTTCCACCGAGAAAAGAATGAGAAAAAAAAAATATATATATATTTCAGGACACACTCACCACACACACATGCCCGCACATATACACACACACCCATTCACTGGTGGCGCGAAAGCGAGAGAGAGAATGCGAAAGCGATAGAGAGAAAGAGATCAAGGCGCACGAAAGTGAGTATACAAAAAAAGCGATCAAATAGAACTTAACAACTCTCTAAGCAATCTAGGATACCATGGAAAGGACCTCGGGCCCCAGCTGGTGGCCCACAGCCCATCCTCTTTCATTCCCAGCATCTAGCATCTAGACCTTGATCCTTTAGCAGCCACCGTCGATTCGTACATTCATTCGCTCTAATATAATTCTCCTCGGTGGGTTGCTTCTTTCCGTTCCAGGAACCGCAGCCCAGTAGCCGTCACCGCCAGGAGCGGGATAAGGACAGGGAACGGGACCGGGACCGAGAGCGAGAGCGCGAACGGGACAGGGACAAGGATCGTGAGAAACGCGACCCAGAACGCAGTCGTGAAAAGGGACGCGACAAAGATCATAGCAAGGTGAGAGAAAGTTTTCTTCTTACGTCAATCTGAAATCCACATTTCTTTTTTGAAATTTCCTAAAAAATGTTTCAATTTCAGGGCGATCATCGCCATCATCGTACCAAAGACGGCACAAGCCACAGGGAACGGGAAAGGGAGCGGGAACGTGATCGGGAAAGGGAGCGCGATCGCGAAAAGGACCGAGACCGCAAGCGTTCGGAGAAGAGCGCTCGCCACCATGGTGGCAAAGAGCGTCACCATCATCACAACTCCTCGACCTCATCATCAGCCGCCACTGCAGCTGCCAATGCAGCAGGGCGTCGCTCCTATGATGATCGCAGTCGTCGTCGCAAGGACTCCCGGTCACGATCCCGCACGCCGACGGGAACTCCACCCTCTCGTCGTCGCCAGCAGTCACGTAAATATCGTGAACGGGAATCCAGTAGTCGCTCCAGATCTCCTAAAGAAGCGCAATCCCAGACACTACGCAGTGGAGCAGTAGCTGGCGCTCACCTGCCTCTCGGGAAATCTGGTGGAGGAGGATCCTCGGCAGTAATAACAGCGGCAGCTGCAGCGGCCGCTTTGGCAGCCGCCAATGCAGCAGCAGCCGCTATGGCAGCAGCCTCTTCCGGCGGAGGAGGTGGCGGTGGCCTTCTACCGACGCCCAATTACGCACCTAAGATACCATCGCTAATGTCCCTGGAGTTGAGTACTCCAGCAGTAGCAGCACCTGCACTAGAGCCCATCCAGCTGCCCAGCTACTATAATCCGGGCATCATCAATGCCAACCGTTATGCGGAGCAACAACAGAAGCGTAAACTATTGTGGGGCTCTAAGAAGAGCGAGGACTCTGCGAACAAGTGGGGCAACGCCCACTTCTCACAGGACTCGGACGGTAAAGTGGCATCGAAGTTTATGCGTCTGATGGGCATAAAAAATGCAGGTCCCTCCGGCGATGGCGAAGCCGGTGGCGGCGGTGACCACATAGAGCCTAGCAACGGTAGTGCAGCAGTCGACGCAAGTGGTGGAGGAGCTGCACCACCAGCAGCCTCGGGCGGAGTGAAAGTGCCCACAGACGTCCAGCAGCGCCAACGCATGTTTTCCAACATGGAGCAGCAGTATGAAATGGCGAGAGCCGCCACTCACACGATGCGCGGCGTTGGTCTAGGTTTCGGCTCTCAGCCACGTACTTTCTAGACGTGCCCGGATTGAAGGACAGGCTCCCTACCAGGCTGTAAATACCATGCCACTCAACTCAACTCATTAGTCATGTCAAGATGTTTCTCCTCAACCACTTTGTTTGTGTTAAGCAAATGTTTTTTGATTTCAAATAAACGTTGCAACCGAATTTATGAAGTGAAGTGGTTTATATTTTATTTGAACGTGCGATAAATTTCTAACTAACTAATTTCCATATTTGGCTTAGTTTTCTGTTATCTTATTTGTTTTGGTTTTTGGTATAGTTATTCCAAATTTGTTAAAAATTATTGGAAATAGGGAAGCATGAATAATAAAGAAGCTTAGTTTGAATTTTGTCACTGGTGTCGCAGTATCCAGCTTCTTGTCTTCTATCTTTGCGGCCAGTTTGTCTATCGTCAATCGATAAAAGCCAATAACAATAACAAAATCAGCTGACGATTGGCCAGACAAGTAAGGCCTCCTGATATCGATATCATATCAAAATATAAAAATAATATTAAAAACATAGCAGAATTATAATAATATACAGTTCAAACAAATGCTAATTGCATCTCCTAAATTGTCCTTATCAGTATAAGCAAAAAAGCTGGACTTAAAGTGTTAAATGAAGTGAAGAAATCAGCTGCAGTTTTTACGACTGCCACGCAAAAAAAATATCGTTTACAAAACAAAAAAACAACGCAAAATTTAACCGCAATTGCTTGACCGGACGACCAATACAATTGTGATCTTGCCCAGAAGAGCCACTCCCCGCGTCCACCTCCGCTGCCGAGAAGAGAGCAGCGAAGATGTCGTGGCTGAACAGCAGTCTCAGCACGCTGAAAGGCCAGCTAACCAATTTGGCCCAGGAAGTTCTGGCCGAAACAGCTGGACCCGGCGATCTGGAGTATGAGGGACATGGAGGAAGTGGTGCGCAAGAGGCTGAGCAGCAAGCAAAGACCGCATTGCAATTGCTGGCAGAGACACAGGAACAAAAAGAACAGCTGGACAGACGATGCGAGGAGAAGGATCGTGAGGTAAGTACTGCCACACAGGCACTTCTAAGGCATCTCCACTCAATAGTTTGTCATTCCTTCCTTTCTAGATTGCCGCCCTGCGCCGGGAAGTGGCCAGAAACAAACAGGAATTGAAGCAGGCCACCAGCACATCATCTTCGAAGGAAAGCCAACTGGTAAGTGAAGATTTTTGATTAATTCGTGCGACCTGCAGCTGGCAATCTACAAACCTCCCATTTCCGGTGCCCACTCTGGGTTCCAGGAAGCATTGCACTCCAGTGTGTGGAGTGTGTTTGCCTGGCTTTATCTTTCAAATAAGCGATAAGCCCAGCTCGCTCTCCCTTTCTCTTTTGGCCACATATCCCTGTATTAATATTTAAACTGCGATAAGCTAGGAGTCGGCACTACCCTAGTTTTTTTTGTGGGTTATATGTATATATTTTTTACCTGATGCCACATTGTTTGGGACACACAGGGAGAAAATTGGATACGATTAAAATCTCTACAATGTAGTCATTAGTGTTTCGCAAACGGACTCCCAAAGTTTATACACTAAACTGCCGAGATATACGGAATTTTGTAGCTGTTGGGCATTCTCTGTATGTATTTATTGATTCTTCATATACCGTATGTATATTTTTAGACGAGGTTACACTATATCCAAATCATAATGTTCAGAATGTCAATTGGGTTTCACAAATCAACTTTTCAACTCTCTTTCGACACCAATAGTTAGAATCTAGCCCATTGGGCTTTCTTCCCTTGAAGAATATAAAATTGATCACTTCTTATGTTCTATATCAAAATATAAGTTCCATTTTGAACTGATATCTGGTTGTCTTTTTTCCTGTGCAATTCATCCACCAGAGAACATGAAATTATGAAATTTCTATTTGATTTGACATTGGATGGTATTTACCGGGCTGTCATAAATCCCTAGTCTCCTTTTCGATCGCCCCATATGCCTATTGGCCTTATCTGGGCGTACTGTTAACCCTATCGCTGTCCTCCATTCGACGGCTGCTTGTTTAATTTACCGAATTATTTCTGATTAGGAAAGTCGCTAAAATGCAACCCCAAGTGGCTGCGATTCCCGATGAACTAACGGGGGTTTTTCGGGGTTGGATATAGTGTTATATAGTGTTGTTTTGGGGGGCTCGGTGGCTTTCTGAAGCACAACTGTACCTGTGACCATATTTGATATTCTCTTCATCTCATAGATAACTTCTATTTGCATATGTATAAAGTGGGCTATAGTTTTGAACTATGGATTATTTATTGATATTTTTGAAAAGCAATTTAAACCAAATATTATTTCTCGGAAATTTAGTATAGTTCAGTATAGAGAGAGTAACTACTTTCTACTTCAATGTCTGCCCAATTATATAAATCAAAATGTATATTCTTATGTTGTGTTTCTGTTTTATAATTTGATATTTTCTATACATTGTTTTAAGGCCTCTGTTGGGCCAAGCAGCAAAAGACAGCGGCGGGCTTATCAGCAGTTTCTATTTTGTTTTGTTTCTCCCAGTTTCGCATGCGCTTTACGGTTATTTTGTAACGCATGCGCTTTTGGGAGCTTTTGTAGAACTGCTGTAGCTCGAAGTTTGTTTTTGTTAAGCTTGTATTCCTTACATTCCGCGTGGTTTTGGAAATTTAACTGCCCCGGTTTATTTATTCTACAGCAATTAAAACCTTTTTGTTTCTCAATAGCCTCTTAAATTAGTAATATGATCTTATTTATATCTAATATATACTGATTAGCTAATCGAAAATGTAAAAATGATTTCCTATCGAATGCGAGGATCACAAATTAAACGAGAAAATTGCATCATTTCATATTTTGAGATAAAAATATATACTATATACACTCCCATTATCGGGACAGGCCAAATCTGAACAGTCAGCGATTGGAGAAATCGATAAAACAATGTTATCTCTATTCTCCCTTTGGGTGTACTTTCTTTTTTATATGTTTAAAAGTTTTTCCTTTACTTTTTGCTGAATTTTCTGTTTTTACTATCAATTTTGATGTATGATTGAAGATTTTCCTTTCATTAGTATTTCTAAATAACTATGATCTTAGATCTTTGATGCATGAGTGTTAGGTTACTGAAATGAAGTTATCGAAAGCCAAACCAAGTTGTATTTTCTTAATTTCTCCCCCTCCTTAATTGGTATATGTTTTCCATGATTTTCCATTCCGCTTTGGTTATCTCTCAGTTGGCTATCAATGGTTATCTATTGGATCGATAGTTGGGTTTGGGTCACCATATTGTTTTGCATAATTGCGCCAGGCGGGCGGCGATAAGTGTGCCCTCATCCCCATTGTCATCCCCCAATGCCATCAACGGCAATCTGCTCCTGCCAACTATTATCATCCCCATTAGGCGGGCATTTGGGACATCTGCATCGCACCATGTTCGGGTTATCTTATCCGGGAGCCAGGCTGGCCAGGATCGCAAAGGGGTTGGTGGTTGGCCAGATCTGGGGGCCTATATAAGCCCGGTTCACCTGCCGGGTGCCATTCATTCGGTTCTTTCGTGTGATCGATTCACGTAGGCCCGCATAAAGTGTTAATTTCTTAACTCAGTTTCTGTTTTTTTTTTTATTTTTACCCGGTGTGCTCAACTTTGGCCTAAAATTCGTTCAACTATAAAAGAAAAAAAACAAACGAAGTACAAACGCGATTTGCATTTGAAAATCGTGTGAAATTTTCCTTAAAAAAAAAGAAGGCCAATAGCATTTTGTACATTTTTCTTTATAATTTTTTTCTGTTTGTTCTTTGCATTCATTTTTTATTGCCGGAAGTCTCTCGGCGACTGCAGTTTTTGTTTTTTTTTTTGTATCGTGTGTTACCTGGCGTGTACTCTTTTGGTATTTATTTTGGGTGAGTCGAAACTTATGTAGTCATTCTGTATATTTCTCATAATGCAACAGGCATTATTAGTTTAATTGTTAAATAATTTGAAAACGCAATGATTTGGTGAGGAATTAGAAACTGAAAAACCAAAAAACCGAAAAACCCTCGACACGAGGCAGCGAGCACGCATCTGGCGTTGATAATGAGTTAACGAGTAGAAAAAAAACGGGGAATTAGGGGAGATATTTAAACAAAAGTCCATTGTTAGAGTGACAGTTTAGCTAGGTAAATAAGTTTGTCAAAATATTTATGTTTCTGGGTTAATTCTCCCGTTTAAATTTGGTTTTAAACCAATTTTAATTAATAATTATGATCTATGAGGTAATTATGGTTAGGTAAATGGTTGTCATTGCATTTTATATAATATTTAAACATAATACTAAATGTAATATTATTAAAATCCCTAATATTTGATCTTCATATATCCCCTTTTGCTTAAAACTCGACTAACAGATGGCGCTACGCCAATGCTAGTAAGCGCCGGAAACGCGCCATATTCGTCATATTGACTGACTTAGTCTCATTTTACTCCATGTTTATCGCACATGGATTATATACATCTAGACATATTTCATATATACTATATCTATGTCATTCGGTTCCAATATATGCATAATCATAATTATCGTAGGTATTATAGAACTCTCCTGATGGCGTTCATCTTGCACTGATTTCATTAGAGCGGAAATGCTGATTGGCCGCTTGGTTGGCTCACTCGTTTGGGTCAGTGGGTGGTGGGGGTTGGCCCGCTTGTCCGTTGGCAGGTGGTTACTCCATTTTTTGTTGTATTTTTTTTTTATATATATTTTTTGGACACGTCAACCGTCAAGAGCCGGAGCCAGAGCTAGAGCCAGAGCGAAACCGAAACCGAATCGAGTTCCATTTGATAAACGCGGTTTGTTACGCTCGGCCAAACTGTGTCAAATGTGTCCCAGCTGCACTTGTTGCTACCTCACTTTACCTTTAAAGCCAACCACCCACTGCCTCCCCCCCTCCCTTCTACCCTTTTCATTCTCCAACCAATAATCGGGAAATTGTGGGCGTTATTTCCCCATTGGCCACGGATCGCAAAGTCCCCGTATCCGATGTATACGTTTCATCATTCTAAACGTTTTCATTCCCATATTTTCACCCCTTCTCGTTGTAGTCTTCCAATTTGACATGGTACGTATTGCATAGAAGGGATTGGGTAGGGGGACTTTTTGGTCTCAAATCAACTAATTAGAGCAGCTGTGGGGTTAGGTGAACCATTGCTTCCTGATGGCTAATGAGTAACTGTTCCTAAAGGGAATGCTTCTCCTTTTTGCCTTCTTAGCTCTGTTAGAGTTCTTTATGGCAAACATTCCATTAGATAGATGGCGGTAATGTATCGCGCTAGTGATCCACATATTATTCAGAGCCCAACGAGGCATAATTTGTAGGAAATCAAATCATTCGGTAGAAGATTCGAATGGAGAACTACCCTTAAAAAGTAGTAATTGGAAGGAAATATATTTCAGAGATTCAAATTAAAGGAGATGTTAAAAGATATAGCATAGGAGCTGGGGAATACTTTAATATTTGTGGAGTTTTAGTCAGCAGCTCCTTATTTTGTATAGAGTTTTCCCTCCATAGAAGGTTCTGCCTTTCACCAGGGTAACTCTTAGTCCAAACACATATTCCGTATACATTTTTTTAATAATGTATTTAATAATCGTAGTAACTATTGTTTGGACCTGCACTTATGGTCAGTGAAATCATTCAGCTATGATGATGACGATGATGATAATGCAATCATCAAATGGCCGCTGTTGTTGTTGTTGTTGTTGTTGTTGTTGTTGGTTTTAAGCACGAATGTGAATGACAATTTTTTGAAGTTGTTGTCGTCGCTGAACCACCCAGCCACCCAGCCACCCACAACCTAAGCACCCACTGCCACTCCGCCCCCATTTCCCAGCAACTGACCCACGGCCAATGAGATGTCAAACGTTGCATGTCGCTAAGTGCAGTTGCAGTTGCAGTTTAAGTTGCTGTTGTTGTTGGTGTTCTTGCTGCTGTTGTTGTTGCTGTCAGTGGAGACCTGCAATTATTTTATAACATTTGTTGTTGTTGTGGTTGTTGTTGTTGCTGATGACTGACATTGTTCGGCTGCCCGTGGGTTCCTATAAACAATCAACGAAGCGAGCGGCCAATTTTCACTAACTGCCACCAACAACTTTAGCAACAACAACAACAATAACAACAACAACTCTAAAACAGAAAAATGTGGAAACG